ATTATATAACGGTGGTAGGGCCACGTAGCAGCCTCGGCTGTTGCTCGAATGGGTATGACAAATACTTTCGCGTTTCGTCTGGTGAGTGAGGTAGCCGGAGCCCAATTTTCAAAAGGTTGTCAACGCATCTGTAACTCTCGGGTGTAGCAGATGTCCATGGACGGCGGTATTTACTTAACATCAGGTGACCCGTCTGCTCGTTTGGCAACTTTTCGCATTAAAAAAAAAATCGAAATATTCTTTTTTATTAATAAAAAATAAAATTATTTATAAATAAAGATGTCTCAGGGACTTACGCCCGGTTTCTGAAACACTGATCATCGTAGAAATTAACCATCCTTTTGGCAACTCAAATGACATTTGAAAAGCTATTTAACAGCTTATTAGTTAATTTCTATGGATTAGAATCGTGTTATACATATTTTTGTAACCATTAGAAAACAGCATTTGAACTATTTCAATCGCAATCAGAAAAAAGCGTTATATACCCGTAATTCAAAAAAGTAGTCAGTGAAATTTGCAATTCTATTTCTAAAAGAAAAAGAATGCCTCGAAAGCACATCTGTTGCATGGAATTGTGTTCTGTCTGCTATAAAGAAATAACGGGCTTTCCATTGCTTTACTGCATATTCATAAGGTTATTATTGTGAGTTCCTGTCCGCAGTATTTGAATTGGTTTTCTTCAGCAAGAACTCCGTTAACCTAGGCATTAGACATAGATAGGCATTTTTCTATTTGACTGCAAAGAAGTGGCAAATTAAGGCAAAGAAAGTAGCTAATGAAAGGACACAAAAATTAAATATAGGTAGTACAATTAAATAGCGTTACTTTGTAGAAATTGTGTACTATAATTTTGAGTGCCTACAATAGAAAATTTTAACCAAAACATAATAGTAAAAGACGAAATTTATGTCATAACCTCAGTCGTATGAAGAAACGTACGCCATATTAACATCAATTTAAAGAAGAGCTCAAACTCAGCGGTGTGTACATTCCAATCAACATCCATTTTAGAAATCATGTCCGGAATCCGATCTGTCTTCCGATCCGTCTTTCAGTCTAATGGCTTCTACAATACGAAGAATTTTGTTTACTGTTTAATGAAATTCTCAAGTTATTACTTTGGATAATACCAATCTAAAATTAATCTAATTTGAAGCAACTTTGATGGTATGACACCGTTTCTTGCTATAATATATATTTTTTTATTTCTATACATATTTGCACCTGCAATATAGTACCATTCATATTATTCTATTAATTTGTTTAATAAGAGGAAGCCTTATCCTCGGGATTTTAGAATATAGTCGTTTTTTAGTAAACAACTTTCTTCGAAGGTCCTTTGAGCTCAGGTTGTTTGAGAATTTTTTTTTTTCATATTTTTCATCTTCAATACACCAGTAAAAATACGTACGATCACGCGTAAAAAATATAACATTTCTTAGATACCAAAGCTTCTCGGGGTAAACCCAAAACTAATCTTGTCTAATTAATGATGGACAATTATTGTAGATTTTATATTTTCTTCTCCTCGCCCCTACTTATTAAAACCAATATTTTTCAGAACACGCACATCTCGTGCTTTACTTTTTTTTTCAGCTTTTTTGTAGAGTGATTGGTCTTACAAGAACGGCAAATACTATTACACTACATTATACTACATCTACTTGAATAAACTGTAAAAATAAAAACATCTGCAAACGCGGGTCGAGTCACCAGTATTTAATAAAGAATGTATAAAATATATTGTATATATTCTTAATTAAATACTGATATTTAATATAATAAGTATTTAATAAAGAATATATAAAAGGTATTTTATATATTCTTCATGATATATAAGAAATCATCAGTATCTAATAAATAAATACTGATGATTTCTTACTTTATATTGATGACCAATTAATAAAGAAAAGTAATAAAAACGTTATTTATAATTACAACAAATTTAATCATTTTATTGAATTTCAGAAATTAAACAAAGTATCCGAAAGTTTGGTTTTAGAGGGTATGTATGAATCATTTATATCATTCGTATGTAAGTTCACCATTGATTCAATAGAATAATCCGCAAACCCATTTCTTGTTACAAGGTATATAAATCATCGTGATACCGTAAAGTTGGTTGCAAGTATTACTATGGAAACCAAAACCAAAAAGCGTTATATTGAAATTGCCCAAGCAAACTCCCCAAAAGAACTTTAACTTCAAAACATACGAATTTATATGGTATAACTAAGAATAAAATGATCTCTTTATTGTGTTCTCGCATGATGGATACCCTATACAAAGGCATACTAACATCAAAAAGTTTATGAGTGCCAAGTGAGTGAATAAATCATCTCTGCGCGAGTGCAAACGACGGCCGCCTTTACTCGCCGGAGAGACATTAAACAAAGTGAACGACAGTGGGAATAGAAGGTTGACAAAAAGGAAGAGTATTTTAAAGATATTTTTTGATAATATTTTCTTTCTAACAACGGTACTTTACTTTTTTACTGTACTTTTTTATTCTTTATACGACAACTTCGCCTTGTAATTAATGACAAAAATGTAAAACGACATCGTCTCCTGAGATTAATAATATAAATTTAAACTTAGGCTCCGATTAATTTATTTTGTTGTAATATAAAGTTTTAAATTTAATTATCAATTAAATTTAAAACTTTAAAACTTCAATTCGGTTTATATTTTTTTATCATTTCATAATTTAAAAGAAATCTTTAACGAAATTCAATTTAAGATTTTTTCGAGATAAGCTTATTTGCATCAAAGATACATGAAATGATTAATGTAATCGGGCTTCCCCAAAACAGACGGCCGCGTTTCGTATCACGATCATTTACACACTTATTTTTTTTACTTTTTTTTCTATACCAGATCATTGCTTATATGATGCATGATTATTTTAAAAAAAGCCGAGCGAAGCTCGGTCCTCCAGGTACTCTACAATTTATTTTCCAATATTGTTGGATGACCTTTTTCCATCTCTCTGACAACTTAAAAATTCCACGCTCGTTGAAAGTCTAATCCTTTTCGAGCACAAACCAACTTTGTGAGATTTTACAACGTCGTCATCATAGAAAGTTTTCCCACGAAGGTATCCAGGGATCATGTCTGACGAGCACGGTTTCGGAAAACGGGACAATTTTGCGTCCCGAAGATTTTTTCGGGGACAAAAGGACAGCTGTCCGAGAAAAGGGACAGTCCCGTTCAAAACGGGACGTGTGGTCAGTTTGGTGTAACATCAATGCCCAATACAACTTTTTAACAACTTCGATTCGGAAATAATAAAGGAAAATATGGCGAAAATGTTCGTTACACTCATACACACTCGCGCACATTAATATTGAGATAATAAAAAACTTTATGAAAATATCTACAATGAACTTGTGAAGCTAGGTAAGGACGATAACTAACATATATATAAGAAGAAGAAGATCATAACATTTACATAAATGGGAGTGGGAAACATCTAAAATTATATTAGTATGTAATATGCTAATGCAATTGATCTCATTTCTAATATGAAATCGTGAAAAATGGGCATCTCAAACACGGTTGAACTGAACATAATTATTTGAACCGGATTTTTGATCGGGTTAATCAAATTAAAAAACAAAAACACCTTTTTTTCTGTAAACACAGCCTCACGTGTTAATTTCCTAAAAACAAACTTAATTTAAATTTTAAAACAAAGTTGAAAAGAATAAATGAAGAAATTTGTTAACGTTTTCTTGTTGACACGTACGACGTTTCCAACTTGACATCTGCTGGAAATCTAAAGAATCAAGTGTCAACAGGCCCTATCTTAACACGCTGGTAAAGAGGGGCGGCGTTGCGAATATCTGAACGGAAATTATGATGAGACGGAAATTAAGTAATCGTTTGCAAGTTTTAAGAGAAAATATTTTGAACTTTACGACATACATTGAACATTTTTAATTTAAAAAATGGTTTATAACATTATTAGTGATTTATAAAGCGTTCTCCTTTCAACGAAGTCATTGTTTAATTTATTTATATTTGCGGTGAAGGTTTAATAAAAGATCTGAATCATGGTTGTAAATCACAAAAATTATGATTCATGAAATTCACATGATGCCATGTAACAATAAATCGAAAAGGTAAGTAAGTTAACGTAACGTAAAGGTAAGTGACCTACCTTTTGGGGTTTTTTATAACTTGATCCTTATAATTAACTACCATACGGAACCATAATTTTTATTTTAAAGTTTTACACTACATAGGTAAAGGTAAAAGAAACAGTTTAAAATAAAAACTGCATATGCATCTGTTGCCTTAGAGTTAAATTAAACTGCCAGTATAAAAAGTGTTATCAGTAGTCAAATTTAAAACTAAATAAATGCACAAAAACTTTCGTCGCTACGGGATTCGCACCTGGGTCTTTCGGGTAACGCGCCCAGACGCTTAGTTGGTTCATTTATGTAGAATTACGTTGTAAGTTTAATCCTAAGTCAATACTCGGGATTCTAGATAATAGAAAGACACTTAAAATAAAATTAAGCCTAAAGTACTCAAATTTCTTTTTCAAGCCTCAGACTTTTCATAGTTTGAAATTACAAAAGAAAAATTTAAGCAGCCATAGACACAACGCCAAATGGTCAATATCTACTTTTTTATCACATAATAAGGAGTAAAACTACGGTTTTAATCATAATTTCTTCTTAAGTTAAAATAAACATACGAGTAAGTTTGTAATTGTACGGCGGAAAATTTCTAAACAGAAATCTGCGCCTGGGTAACTCGAAAAATGAAACTTCAATCGCACTTAGTGTAGGATGACGAAAAGTATTACAAAATAATATGTATACATATTATCATTATTTTGTTATACTTAAATTAGGTTACCTTTAAAATTACTTTCTTGTACAGCACATATGTACTTACTATTCGCAAATGACGCCTGTTATTGATGTGTCCATTACTTGAACATGTTTTTTGTGTATCTTTGTAAATAAATAAATAAAAATACTTACAGAATGCAGTCTCCTGGCAGCGTCGTGTATAGATAAAATGTGTGTAATCTTGTATTTGTCTAGCTGCACTGGATCCTTGGAGTCTCTGTAGTTGCCGACGTACAACCCGGGCAGGACCTAAACAAAAATATAACAAAATATGCTAAATATGAAGTTTATAATAAATATTATAACTTTTATTTGAGCTACAGCATTGGAAAAATACAAACAATATTACTGTATGTGTGTGTATTTATCTAGTATTGCGTCAATGAGTTATTAGCTCATCATAATATTAAGACATTTTATCAAAATAATTAATTGCTGACTTAATTAACTGTGGTTTGACACTTGTGGACACGCATTGGTGTTCACCGTTGCATGAATGAATGTCCGTCCGGGTAAGTACCACGACCTCATAGAAGACCGGCATAAAGTAGAAGTGTTACAGTGTTGTAACGCATTTGTAACCCTATAGATGTTGCGAATGTCACTGGCCGCGGGTGTTGCTTAACGTCAGGTGAACTGCTAGCTCGTTTCCCACTTTGTCACATCGAAAAAAAAAAAGGTTAACAAAACTTACAAACACAATGATATGTTAAATAAACATCGCTACACACACGGGAAAAACATAATCCATGTATACTCTACAAAATATGGAAAATATATGCAAGCAGCGTATCGTAAAACCAACATTTGCTCATGAATCAAACTTAATCCATTAGCGAGTATATTCATACCATTATAATACATTTTTGAATAAATCTTTACAAACTGATATTATTTTTTGAAAACGTATAATATCCTATACCTACTCAGATTTAAGTATGAAACCATAATGATCGCAGGTTAAAAAAAGCAAAAAAAATATTTTTACCAAAGCTAACGTAAATACTCGCACATGTTACCTTAATTTTAAAAACAAACAATCCATAGTGGGCAAACTTTTTTTTATTCGCAACTTTGCATTGTCAATGTGTTCAAAAAGCCTGGTCACAACAACTCGAAGCTGTTGAAAATATAGTATTTTATTTTCCTCGTTGATCGTAATGTGTACAGTGCAACAATGCTAAAATTATTAGAAGAAAAAAAAATTACTGCATTAAGAATAGTATTTATTTTCTATTCTTCTTCACGGACACATTGTCGAAGTGCCCTAACTTAAGTTACTAATGACATCATAGTTACACATGTTAAAATCGTGATAAAGAATTGGGCATATGTACACACATGGTATGTGTATTCGCTCGAATAATATTACCCACCTTCGGCAGTCAGCAATTGTGAAGATGCTGCCTTTTAGTACACTTATAAATACGTATATTTGCCTATTTCAGGCAATTATATGCCGACTGACGAGGAAAACCAGTATTTTTTTGCCAATTTTAAGTCAATATTTAAATTTTACCATTTATTTACATAGATTGTTGAAGTTGTAGGTATATCTGAGGACTGCCATGAACTGTATAAGGTGATGATAATGATTGTTAAACGACCTCATTTGATTTGATTTTAATATACTGGCATCTACAAAGAAACGATTTTCTGGTTTTGGCCAGTCTAAACCTCGGTACTTTCAGAGTGTCACCATGGCCCCAACGCGATATGGAATGTTTTTCGTAAATAGGTGGATATTATTAAGTATATACATGATGTTCTCGAGTATGTAAAGCGACGGAAGCGTTAAAACGTGTATTTGCTTAAATAAATGGCGTAGTGACTCACGTGGACCTCTATGGCTTAGACTCAGACCGCATAGCCTGCGTTTGTAATACAAATATTCAACATTAAAATGTCATGTTTCGTGCCGCTTCTAAATACTAAAATCCCTACAGTCATTTTCATCATCATCATCATTTCAGCCAGTTTGAGTCCACTGCTAAAAAGTTACTAAAATGTTTGTTTCGTTGTTGGCGAAATCTGACAGTTTGCCAGGTTCTAGTCAGAGTTAATACTAGTCTTATTTAATTTGCCAAAAACATATTTATGCTCAGTAGTTCTCGATAAAAATTAACCTACATTTATAATAAGAAAGAAATTAGATAATTTATATTTGTGATTGGATGATCAATAATTTTGATCGCATTACATGGCAGTTATGATGTCGTTCTATATTTTATTTTTACCAAGTAAATATAGAAATAAAGATTACATGGTACTATGATTATTTTTTCTCTGTGAAAGAGACAACTTCTCTGGGTAACTAGCCAGTTAGCAGAAAATGCCTATGGCATTTAGTCCATCTTTGTACAAAGAATTTTTGTGAAAAATGTTTTAAATAATTAAATAAATCAATAAAAAAGTTAAAAAAAGAACTATTGTAAACATTTGAAGAAGTATACACCGATATCACATAAGAGCCGCATTTATTTGTTGTTTTCGAGAGTCATCTTGAATCGTCTCGCTTTCAGACACTTCCAGCCTCCCGAACAAGCTGGATTATACTGAAGACTGAAGAGTATAATTAGTGTGCTTGTGATGATCTACGGAACCAAGACTTGGTCCATCACTGCTGGCCGTATGAGGAAGTTCAAAATCACTCAGCGAGCTATGGAGCGTAACAAAGGTAACCCACATAGCTCAGAAGATTAGTAAGCTGATGTGGCAATGGACTGGCCGTACAGCTGGAAGAACTAACAACCGATGGGGAGAAAAGGTTCTACTTATCCGGACGGACCTGCCCATTCGTGCAATAGCCGAAGCTGTTGCGTTGCCTTACCACAGATAATTTATGATGATTTTCAGTTTTTACTACAAAGTTCTTTTTAAGTATAATTAAAGCACATTATTACATTCATTCCGTTAATTTTTTTTTAGTTACATTATATTATTTTAGTTACATATTGGAATATTTCTTAATCAGTTTTTTCGATAAAGCTCACAAAATAGGCAAAATACCTACCAACCTAACAGAATATTTAATTTGCAGAGTGTTTTTAAAGGTAACAGTTTTTAATAAACTTTAAATGGGTTTTGATTTAAAAAAGTTGACGTGGATAAGATTGATCTTAAACCGTGACAGGATTTTTAATAAAATAAGAAAGAACACTCGCAGCTCTATTGTGTTTTATATATTCTTAGGGCTTTTGTGTATATTAATATAGTGTATTTTCGAGATCGCTCTCAGCCTCCAAGTTTTATTGTTCTATTGTTATGAGAGTCATTGTTAAGTATCATTGATGCCAAGTTCTTCAAGAATAAAGTTTCGGATGAGTTCTTTTGTGTTATTCTACATAATATATTTTCTGAATACTTTAATAAACATTGAGAAAACCTAACTTATACGCTTATTATTATTACTTAACGTTACTTCATCCACGACAGCCTGGTTATTACGTCGAAATTGGAAAAGTACAATTCGATAAGGACATGTTATCGTCTAGTTCATAACATGTCTCACTCTCAATAACATAAAAAATCTTCAGTCAATAAGTATTAAAAGACAGTGAGTTAACTTCTTATACCATAAATACCAACATTTACAAGTAAACATTTATGGTCTTATTCATAATAAGTTATCGGAGGTTTAAGAGCTCGCTAAAAACAGATTGTCAAAAAGTATTGTTCATAATCGTTCTATAACGCTAAAACCTTCTATAACTCTCCGATAAAGTGTCTTTGATATAAACACGGTGATTTTACGGTGGTAGGGCCACGCAGCAGCCTCAGCTGTTGCATGAATGGGCAGGCCCGTCCGGGTAAGTACCACGGGTAAGTACCAAGAGCCGGGGCCCACTTTAATCAAAGGTGGCGACGCATTTGCAACACTACGGATGTTGCAAATGTCCATGGGTGGCTGTTATCACTTAACATTAGGTGAACCGCCAGATCGTTTGCCACTTTATCACATAAAAAGAATGTGCTCACTGAAACGAGATATTGATTCACATACGAAACGCAGAAGTATAACACTTCCACTTCGTGCTGGTTTTCTGTGAGATCGTAATACTTATCCTGTCCATTCAGAAAACTGCAAAAAATTAGAAGAGAGAAATAAAACATAAAGGAGGTATCAATTGAAGGTTACGAAGAAAACCATGCTTGAATCTTAGCTGGATAAATAAGAATACGCCTAATAGAAGCGGAAAAACAATTTAAATTTCATTTTCTCGACACAACTGTCTTACACCGCATAATTGTCTCCGTTATATTTTCAACATTCCTTGTGCTTTTTCTTTGTTCAGCTTTCTTGTTTTTAAAATATCCGTTACTTGAGGAATATAATAACAAAGAATTTTTGTTTACTTATTAGAGTTATGTATAGTTTTCATCACAGGCCATATACCAGTACGATAGTATAGCGAAACATCCAATAAGTGTAACAACTAAAATATAGTTAATAGACTATTGTGGGAATAATTGCATTAATAAATTAAATCCCCATTATACAACTTGAGGCGTTAGAAATAATCCTTCATTGTTGGTCCAGGCGCGTGCACTCCATACAGTCAAGAAAGCTTTGCTTACCCTGTCGTTATAAAAACATGCCGTAAAACAAAGCCACAACATATATTAAAGTTATCAACTGCATATGTTATTGACAATTTTACTTTAACTCTTGGCTTTCCGTGACCGCAAATTGTAGAACGACGCATCAGAATACCGACACTTCACGCCCTCCACGGCCTACAATGGTACAGACACACCGAGTCACGGAAGATAAGGAGAGTGGCCAAGGGCATTATAAATATCTCCCTCTCCCACAACTCCTAGGGAAAGTAGCTCCTCTCCCTCAACCTGTCCCTCGCACTCTCCTTGAACACATCTCTCGAATCCCAGTCGGAGGTTGCTCTTTCCTCTCTTCCTTAAAGGACATCCAGCTCAGGTGAAACTTTCGTACATGTCACTATGCGAGACTAAATACTGAGTAGACAACGATTTTTCAAACTTTTGCTTAGGACAATCTTTTCCTTTTACGACATGGTGCTATGAACTCGAAGTCATTTTCTCGGTAAACCACACCTACCTCAATACTTTATCAACGTATTGATTGAGATATTATTATAACTAAATACCTTGAAGTCATTGTTTTAATTTAGGAACTATGAAAGCATGATGAAGAAGGCATATGGTGCCATTGTTTCATCAAACGCGTTTGTCACAAAGATATAAGCGACAGACTTAATAAGTATTTCTTTTTTAATAGTTCGAACAGTTATTTATGTAAGTATATAAAAACGATGTCATAATCTACAAAGTAAAATCTCTTCACGTAAGGTTCTTATAGAAATAAGTTATTGAAATAAAGAATTCCTTCCGTTCCGCATTAGTAGCACATATTACGACTCCCCTACGCAACACTTCTCGTAGGTTATTTCTTTGTTCATTGTCCTATTACTTTTGCGTACTAATTTAAAAGGAGAGCTTGTGTATTTTATTCTAATTCATCTCTTTATACTTCAAACTTAAGTTATTGGTCATAGTTTTATTTTGGCATGAAATTAGGTTTACTATTATTAGTAGAAATTAAATACTTATATAAAATTATATGAAAAGAAAATTAATCTTATTCATTATCTTATTTCCTTGACAATTTTTAAAGTATTGTTATTGCTGTTATTATTTCGTTTCTCAAAGAGGGTTGAAGGTCATTGCTTTGTGGGTCACAGACTAAATATGCGCAGAAGGTCCAAAAGACCTGGAAGCGTTATCAAATGACCGGTTCCGTCTAGAAAAGGCCAGGTTCTGGAAGTAAGCTGAACCACGGTATGATGTTTTTTTTGGTGAATCAAGCGTTGAGAAATCGCAAATTTTATGTGGAACTCAAGAATAAACTCGAAGAAATAAGAAATGTGCAAATTAATCTATGAATGGTCAGGAGACTCCTTGCTGCTAATACACGAAGTCATCGCCCGTCTCGTAACGAATATTCTTCAGTTCCACATACATACATTTACAGCTCTTGGCGAAAACTCAGTTTGTATGGACTTCAACTTTCGCGTCCACTGGTGGTAGCGTATTATTTTTATGTGCGAAGATGGCAAGCGTGCTGGCGGTTCACCTGATGTTAAGTGATAACCGCCATGAGGTCGAAATTCGTCCTTTGGATTATTAAGCTCGAAGTTCTCAATCCCATAAAATCTGGGACGTTCCAAAACGATGATTGATATCAGTGCAGCGGAGCCACCACAGACAATCAGCTGAATATGGTTCGATTCATATCACTATCGCGGAAATGTATTCCGCAAAAAAGCATAAGGAATATTGTGTGCAGATTCCACTAACAAAGTCATCATTGAGTAATGAATATGAGAAGGTCTTGTGACAATATAACTCTTGTTTACAATTGAAAATAATTTTAACTCTTAGTCTGTGTTAGTAGTTCTTACTAATAATGTGATTTCATTCATGAATGTAAAAGGCATAGGTATATGAAACGAGACAACTTTGACCCAAATTCGCGTATCTGAACGAGTAGTAACTTAATAAACGTGCTAAGGAATTTCAATGTTAGTGTATTAAGTCTTCGCGATCTGTAAAATACTTTGTAAGATAACTTTATAAATGTAAAAATAAGCGAGATGTCAAACTATTGGACACCACGAAGACCAAATCATACGACCCGTCAACGTGAGTGAACTGAAAGTTAATATTAAACAACGTTTAGACATAAAATATTGATTCAATACAATATACGAAAAAGATGAAATATTTTAGGCACAACTTAATTTAATTATACGTGTTATATAATTATACTGCCTTTTTTCATACTGGCTCATTTAGGTTTAGCACGAGAAGGGTAACGTGCATGCAATGTATAACGCCTATTTACCCCCACTTACGAGTCTAGAGTAGTGTAGTCAACACAGTCTTATTGCGTATACTAGATACGTTGTTCGAAGTGTAATTATCAGGATGATGCAATTATGTAACAAATAATTAGTACCAGTGTGACAATGCATAAATGCCAAAAGAAAAAGTAACGTAAGGAACACTACCCATAATTTTGAAGCTTTTAAAAGAAACTATATATTTCTCTGTCTAAAGATTTGGGATATTCGCTCATTATCATGCCACATCAGTAACAGCTGCGTTTAATTATTACCTACAATCAGAAATATAAGAGATTATCCTGTTTACCACAATTTATCAAAAAATATCGCATTGACCTTTGTGGTACATATTTATAAATCAAACATTTCGTACGGAAACCGGATCACAAGCACTTATTTGCACCTTACACACAAGAATAAATGCTCAACGAAACTTAACAATTTATTTAATTACTTTTTCAAAATAGTCATAAAATTTTACTTTTTAAACCTTATTTAAAAATTAAATTTGGAAATAGAAATAAAAAGAAGTAAACACAATTTAAAACCAGATCACGCAATGGCCCTGAATATTACACATTCGACTGGGGACTGGGGAATATTCTCTGAGCTGATCTTGTAAAACTCGCACGTCGTATTTATGCCACTCTATTTGTATTTCATGAAATTTTGGGCTTTTAAATATACTTTAAATTTCTGGTTGTTTGATAATTAGACATATCTTATCACACAGATAAATTAGCAAATCTGTAGGCAAATCATAAAATATGAAATAATATAATAGATTTGGCTTGCAGGCATTTAAGTTTAATACAACCGATGATACCAGAATCTCTTAAAATAAGTGGGTAGAACTTTACAATAAATACGCTACGCTATAGCACCGCGATCCCAACTAACGTTACGAGCTACGAGCGGCTACGGCACCGTTACGTAACTGCAACGTGTTGTCGTTATATATTTAAAAAAATATTTTAAAAATTGAAACTGTAAAATCATACCTTGTTCATTCCATTTCCCATCTTTGCTGTTAGCCCGATTCCGTATACAAATATACAAATAAAACCCGCGTCAAAGTGACATCAGGACATTTAAGCACGACATGTTTCAACACGGGAAGAATAATTGCAACTCATAAAAATCGCTTAAAATTACCCACTGTCAAACCGTCAACATTAACGTCACTATGGCTACATTGTTGACGCCGGTGTTCCACGCGACTTCGATTATATCGATGTTTTCAGCAACACCAGTGCTGTATCTTTAAGGGGACTAATAAAGCCGCGGCACGCCAATCAATACTTTTTACGTTTATCGTATTTTAATGGCAGCTTTCTGTTATCATGCGGTAAATTTATCGGTATGTAAATATACAGACTGATATGACGTAAACACGTATTAAAGACGTGCCGCGTCATCCGCCTTCGACGCGCTACTGCCGGGCCGGGCGGCACTGCGTCTGTAAGCCCCTTTAGTGATGTGTCATTGGCTTAATAGCCATATCGATAGCCTGCTATAATACATTTATACTAAGTATCTCTTCTTAGTATATATGTCTAAACCCAGGAATAAAAAGCATTTATTAATGAAATAGTTCTTATAATACATTTTCTTAAGTGCTATTATTAGTGTTAGCTAGAGTTCTGAGCATAACATTCATTCTACATTTCGCCAATCCACTACAAGTATTATTTCTGTAATATTTTTTCAACAGCAATAAAATCTCGATGATGAACATAATAGGGAAATTTTAATTCTTGTTACGTTTTACCGACACAAAATCTTTGGTTAAAATAGATCTTGCAATGGTTAATTGCCTTTTAAAATGATTTTTGAATGCCAATAAAGAAATGACACTCATAATTCATTAATAATACACGGGCACAGAACGAGACTCGATATATGCCAATCGATAACTGTATGCGCCAGTATAATCTTCGAAAAGAATAAACTGCAGGGGATGAAAAATATGCTTCTAAAAGGTTGTATAAGTACTAACCATATTTTTAATATACATATCTATATGAAAATTCAGTTTTCTTTTTATTTCAATCCAAAAAACCAACAAAACTTTCAATACTTTAAAACAAACTGTGTAAGACATTATGTATTTTGTTTTATGCGAAAAGTTGTCAAACGAGCAGACGGTTCATCTGATGTTAAGTGAATACCGCCGCCCATGGACATCTGCCACACCCAAGGGTTACAGATGCGTTGACAACCTTTTGAAAATGCGGCTACCTCACTCACCAGACGAAACGCGAAAGTACTTGTCATACTTCCACTTTACGCTGGTCTTCTGTGAAGTCGTGGTACTTACCCGGACGGGCCTGCCCTTTCTTGCAACAGCCGAGGCTGCTGCGTGGCCCTACCACCGTAATGTAATGTATGGTAGTGAAACAATAAAAGGTAAACTTAAATTTAAAATTAATGTTTAATCTTAAGTGTAGAGATTGGCACTGCTGGGCAAAGGCCTCCTCTTTTTTACCTAAGACTATCAGAGCTACTAAGAGGGGTACTAAGGGTATCAGGACATAGTCCACCATGCAGCCTCACTGCGGATTGGCGAACTTCACATATCTTTGAAAAATATTTTTTTTGTTATTTCGAAAATATGCAGGTTACCTCACGATTTTGTTCTTCACCGTTGAGCAAATAATTCGGCACTTAAAATTAAGAATTTCATTGGTGCTGGCACCGGGGATCGAACTCAGGTTCCTCTAGTATATTGAATTGAGATTGGCACTAGAAAAAATTTAATTTCAAATAGCAATAACAACATCGAAATATCGTTGTAAAACGATATTAGACATTGTTTATGTGTAAAGTATAAAACAATACATGTAAAGGATATAACAATAGATGCGTCAAGCATTGCTTAAAAAACGAACTAGATAAAATACGTTGAAAGCATATGGGCGCAAATCCGGAAGACGTGGGTTTGATTTCCACAGGGGCGAAAAACTTTCCATTCAATTTATTGACAGAGTTTAATAAAAAAATAATAAAAAACACTTTTATGAACTAATTGGCTCATTATTTTTTATCCTTACAAGAACCGATGAATAATCCTACTCACGTAAGCAAACTTCTATCAATACCAGCCTCTACTAACAACGCACCAGTTGAGCCATCTAATCATTCGTCATCCATAATAGTTTTTTAACAATTTTTCCAGGAGTCATTGTTGCCCGCCAGTGAGATTAGAACGCGGAGCCCGAAGATCGACAGTCCGTCTTCACGAGCGCTGGGCCATGACAATTTTTTGCATTGTTTTCTCTATACGCATGACGCGATTGTTAAGAGTTGATTGTTCTCTTCGCTAATTCCTTATGTCTACCGCGTCTACAAAAAAATTTATAATCTACAAGAATATTTCATTATTTTTTCACGATTTTTAAGTCTTTGACTAGACTTAGAAATCGACATAAACCACACACGAACGTTGTTACATATAGTCAATTTTATTTATATTAATTAAAATTAATTTTTAGACATGTTTGCTATTACCAGATCTGTTCGATACTCCTCACCTTTAAATCGGTAGTACTCTAGTAGCTATATCTTGCATTTTTATTAGACTATGTGCGTTTCAACTAAGAAATTATTAACTGGCTAATTTTTATTTAATGTTCGCTTTTAATTATTTCATTCTGTTTGAAATCTTCCAGAGAGTTTTTGAATCGCGATTCTACTGTCAAAGGTTATACTTATGCAGATCATAAATAATATTAATTGTCACAAATGAACGGAACTGACCTCAGTTCAATTTGATAAGAACATTACAATTATCCAGGAATTATGAACTTGAGATAATTATATCGCTAGACTACTACCAACGTAGACTTAAACCCGTTGCAGTCTGTAAGTTTTTTTTTTATAGACGGGAGCCAATTCGAAAGTACATATGTACCTATATTAAGTCTTTTTAAGGTTCCGTACCCAAAGGATAAAACGATACCCTATTACTAAGATTTCGCTGTCTGTCTGCCTGTCTGTCTATACCTCTGTCACCAGACTGTATCTCGTGAACCATGATAGTTAGACTGTTGAAATGTATTTCTGTTCCCGTTATAACAACAAATACTAAAAAACAGATTATACATACAGAGAAACAGAAACCATTCGTGCGCTGTCCGATTCGCACTTGGCCGGTTTTAAAGAATATCCTTTTTTAGACTTAGCTTTGGAGTAGTAGAATAAATCAATACGCCGGTAAGTTCGATTCTACCTACAACCAGACTGCGTAGAATAAATAATTATTTACATACGTTTTTACAACAAAATCCCAGAAATCGTTCATAATGTATCAATTTATAAATTCAATTCTAAGTTTCTTTCGCCGGTTCTTCTTAGGTCAGTCTTTTCTTTTCCAAAGCGGTGGTAGTGTTTTGACAATCAATAAATAACTGTAATGTTTCTATATTGAATAAAGATATTTGTAATGGATTGCCTAACGGATAATCCATTACAGTATTACTCTTAGATAATAGCTTCGGATCCGGATGTTTAATCATGATTTTTCCTCTCCATAGGTTAACTGGTATATTGCTTACAGGCTTTAGGTCTTGTGTTGTACTAAGTAAATTGATTTGCAAGATATGCAATAAAAATTAAGTAATAAATATATTTTTTTTTTCAATTATTACTACAAAACTCGATCTAGTTTTACACTGTTACAAGTTTTATAATGTTTGAAACAGCATTAAAATAAGTGATCCTCGCTAGCTAAGGCTCATATCTACGTATTGCTACTTGATGGAACAAGTGAGTATTGTGTAGGAACACGTGCCTTATCGCTGGACGGCGTCACATCTGCTTCGAATGAACCTTTTCTATCTTTACATTTTGTTGCTCGGCTAAAAGTAGAAAGAAATAAAAAGCAAATTTTCAAATATTTTTTTTTTTATTGAAACGAACATTTTATGGTATCACAGACATGTTGAGAGTCGCACTGCTTAACTTTTTTTGAATGTCTTTCCCATTCTTCGGTCGTAATCTTGCTACGTTCTAAGCTATATTACTAGAAGTCTTTAACAAAATTCAAATTATGTTCAATAAAAAAGCAGCCTAAAATACTTTCCGTACATCGACAGAAAATAAATTAAAATAAAGGTAATACTGATTTTACTTACATGACTTCAATCCATACGTAAGCTTTAAGCTTAATCAATGGAGAACTGAATAAGGTATTAAACGCTGTTTGCTTGTTATAATAACAATAGAAAATTAAAACAATAAATTTGGAATAAATTAAGTTGCACATAATTGGTTCTAATTAAACATTTTACAAACTTATTACATAATTATAGTCACAATAAATAGGCATATTTAATGTTTTGCACTACCACTTATATCCTCATAGTATAGTTTAACAAATTTCAATAAATAGATCCCAATCTCTTATCATATTTCATTCATTCATTATGTACATACAAAATCTTCTCCTGCATAGGTGGGGTCGGTAGATCGTGTTGCTAATGGCATAGGCTAGGTTTTTACATCCCGCCGCCTGCCTGACGTCAACCGCTTTAGGGAAGAGACTTCCAGATTCAGAACAATTATCTGCCAGTAACATTTGTGTTGCTTGTCCCGTGTGGGAATCCAACTCACGAACTCCGACGCCGAAGTCAATGGTTTAACAACAGCTCCACCGGTCATATACGTACAAAACATTTTTACCACATGCATTATTAAACTATTAATTGATTGTAATGTACGCATAGTACTAATACTATTCATGGTGATTTATCTCTTTACTTTCACGCGGGCGCGCCACTAACACCAATCCCGTTACGATGAAACACACTCCCAACCACCATCGTAGCGAGGCACCTTCGTCAAATACCGTAACACCTATTATTCCCTGCAAATGTAAATATATAGTTCAGCCGGCGTTCTTTCGCATTGTCAATCCAATGGCCTTCCTCAAACTGGGTAGTGATCTATGCAAAGGCTATCTCCTTTAGGAACACATGGCGTGAAGTCTCGTCAGGTAAAAAAGGGGGACCTCGAGAAAGAACAGGCTATTGGATATACATACATACATAATTATGTATAATTTACGATGCGTCCGGTAGCGTTAATGCTTGCCCCTTTAATGATTGGCAGTTGTATTCTACTGTTTCGAATGTCAGTGGAAGGCATTTCTTTTTATTAAATATGATTGCAACGAAACAGTGTTTCACCTGTTGAAATTATAATTTCTCAGTCAGTTTCGTGCTCCTATGGACGTCACAAACCGCTCACGGTAATAAAAGTAAAAGAAAAATAAACGTCCCTGGGATCATGTTTTGGTATCAAGAATAATTAATATAAACAAGAAATTATAGCACGAATGAAATGCAGAGCAATAGCCCTACCAACATAATTTAGCCCTCGTTGTATTGTTTCGACATTATTGATGACTCCGTGGCGCAGTTGCCAAGTGGCTTCGGCGTCGGGGGTCGTGGATTCGATTTCCGCACGGGACAACTATTTGTGCGACCCACAGATAGTTGTTTCGTATCTGGGTGTTTGTCCTTGTGCAATTTATGTTTGTAAAACGTACAAATCCTTTCAATTGCGGTGTTAAAATCTTAATGATTTTTTGGCCGAGTACTTGTGGATGTCGTGGATGAATTATTAAAATAATAATTCTGGTATTGGCCAGTCTAAACGCAGACATTGCTAGAACGTCCCCAGGCGATTTACTATGGCTTTTAGAAAATACACAAATAACAGTTACAATTTACCACGGGGCATAAGCGTTGTAACGTTCATTTACTTACTGTTTAGGATGTGGGTTTAAACAGGCCGTAAAGCTCGTAAAACTATCGATTTTGTAATATAAATAATCGTCTGTTGAATCCCAAAGTAAATTAACATTCAATATGATGTGATTTTTTTATGTGAAAAGTTGGCAAGCCGGCCTATGTGATATGGCCGCCCATAGACATCTCGATGGCTCTATTTTAGCGAAAATTAATTTATAACTTAACTGGTTTAAATGAAAAAGATACCAAAAAAAGGTATGCAATTTACAAGAGCCCAAAAAATTAAGGACGAGCCTCGACAATAATGAAATAATGACACTGAATGTACAGATAAGCATAATTATATATTTACTTTTTAATAAACATAACATTATACTACTGAGTCAAAAATTTTATTTCATTGTCACGTCATAACTATTAATTTACAGAAAACTTTGTATAGAGGTGTAAAATACCATCTGACTTTTTACGTAGTTCGGTTTTCGTAAGATCATATGCGCCTTTTTTTTAAACGTTGTATTTTTCGTAACTTATGAAAAATACTTTACAAATTTCATACTTAATGAATATTACTATGTGTCTGGCTTACTGAGATAACACCCTCATTACTTAGGTATTACTATAACATATTTTTGTATAAAATCATATATTAATAATGATTCTCGTATATGGGCGGAAGATCACTAAAGCCTTTTTACGTGGAATAAAAAAAAATTAAAAATAAAAAATCAACGATGCCGAAAGTGCAAAATCTCAAAATAATTTATACTGATAATAATTATACTGATTATTATTATATACTGATTATATTGATAATTAATACTGATTGCAAAATTTCAAAAAAATTGCTTAAGTAGTTTACGAAGATTTGACCCAAAATACATTTCTGGCAACTTAACCTGCTCTCCTGTAAAATTTGATTTTATCACTTAGGGGCCGTATAGGCTTTGCATAAAATGTATGCCATTGAGTTTGGGTACGAAAATTCAATCTCAATGACATAATTGCAAATTTCTGAATGTGTTGAAATATTTGTTCATAATATTTTCATTCCTGCTTTCTATAAGCTCGGCAAACATATGAACTAAGGTTAATAAAAACAGTATAGGTTGTTATACATTCAGCCAAATCAATCTTTGCTTACAGAGAGTGTGTAGCTAGACGCTGCTGATATGACGGTAGGCGCAACAGAGTTTGTAGCCGCATCAAGTGAGCGCAAGTAGTAACGGCATCCCCAGGTGTTGCTCATAATCATCAGAGCCAAGAATGATGCCCATATCAGGTAACTGTCGCCCTAAATAATTATATGGCAGTTAAAAACTTACACATTAAAGTAGAAATAGATTACTGTTACAGTAACAATGATGTTCATACTATTTCTTAGTATACCAATATTTTATAGTATTATGGTAACCTTTCTAAATGTTATGGGAAAAAAGTTATGCATGTTTTAGTCCTGGATAAATGGATGTAGCTCATCCATTGCATTTAATTTCATCCAGCCGCTTAAGTTACAGAACATGGAGGGGCAAACATTCATACAAATTTTGTATAGAATTTTTAATCTTCTCCATGTAAACATTTACTCAAACATGTAAATTGTTAAGAGGTACTACATACCTCGTGCAGAATCATATATGAATACAAACAAAGAAAAAATTTTTGACAAACAACAAAAATGTTTAACCAAGAACAAGAAGGAGCCTTCACTCTCTACTTATTTTCACATTCCCTTCCACATCCTAAAGCCACAGCACATCTTTTGCTGTTGCTGAAATGAGGATTCCTGGAAGTTATCACAGCCTTAGATATTTTACCAAAAGAAATCTAAGTACGCATTAACTTTCTTTCATTTACTATTTCTTCTATATAGATATTAATATTTCAATGAAAAATTGTTCTTTTTTTTACTAGAAACTGATTTTTCTGCTAGATTTTAAGTCGTTTAATTTTATTATAACACAAACATAACATTTATGTAAGCTTTTCGTTAAATTTATATCAAATTTGAATTTAAACCTTAAAAACAATGTAATATACTTTTATAACGAAGAAATCGTTATATTATTAAAGTATGGTGTCACCTGATAAAATTTTACCATATTTTAGTTTACTTACTACAACATTTGAAGACCCAGACAGTTTACCCAAAGTACTGCCCACCGCCGCCCAAATACCTGCTAGAAAGGCTTCATAAAACATTGTAAAGCTGTAGTACCAAATAAAAAAATTCAATATTTAATAATAAAAAAACAAGTCATAAAAATACTAAGAATTTGTAACAAAACAAAAAGTTTTTGTGAGGTTATAAACAGTCAAGAGTGCCAACCAACCAAGTTTATTCATTCTAGAAGTGGGCGATACAAATCGTATCAGATATGAAAACTAGATATTAGTACAATATCCGAATATCGCTTACTGGCTCGTTCAATATCTATGTATTTTACAATATCTGATATTTCCGAAATCTGATGTACCGTGCTCGCTCGCTATACCGACACGAATCGCGATATATACGCGTTTGCCACAATATCTGATTTTTAAACAGATTTCGAGAGACAAAGCGCGTGAGATACAAATACTCACTAGTTAGAGCGGGACGGCAAGCAATGCACGATATCAGATATCGAGCGACAAAGCGCGTGAGATATAAATACTCACTAGTTAGAGCGGGACGGCAAGGCACAATATCAGATTTTTAAACAGATATTATGAATAAGTTAAGTAATTTTGAATCTTAAGACTATGCAAATAAGATCCGTTTTAATTAAATACTAATCATGGTATCAAAGATTACTACAACGATATTATTATATTTCTATTGTTTTGTTTAGCCTTGAGCCGTAACGGTCGACAAAGCGCGCAGTTAAGTAATTTTGAATCTTAACAGCATGGAAATAATCTCTGTTGCATTTAAATACGAATTACGGTATAAACGATGTCTTTAAATTTTGTTTAACTTTGAGCTGGATTGCATTGATACCTAGCACGTAATATAAGGGATGCCAACTTACTACTTAAGAATTTTCTGCCTAAATTAAGGAAGAAAAATATAAATGGAAATTTTTTAGGAGGTAATTTTTTTGTGAATATTTTTATTAGTTAAATTTTATTCATATTTTTGGAAAAAAATAAAACTAAACAAAAAGAAAAATATAATTTAATAGTGCTGTGCTGCTTGGGTGGAAATCAGACCAAGGTTTATATGCTTTGTGTGTATATTTTAAATTCTTCCGCCCTAAGTTATAATACTGAATGTATTATTTCTTACACAAATTATGAAAATATTGTCACTCATGATTGCGTGTTCTAAGAATATGTTAATGTCAATTATCAAGCGATATATAAGATGTTAAAATAAATCATTTTTATATTACTTCAATTTTTTTTTTAATTAAATTTTTAATTTAATCAGGTAATGTTTTAATTTTACCTGAATAGTATAAAAAATCGTTATTTTAAATTCAGTAAGTTTTTTGAATTTAGTCAATTTTAGTGGGTTTTCGAATTTATTTAGAAGTATTCTTTTTGAACAGTTGGTATCACTGGTAATAGCTTTAGTTATGTATAGGTACAATGATCGTCGAACAAGACTTTCGACGATTAAAGTCAAACAGCTTACGTTCGTAGACGTGAATTTAAACCCGGAGGAATCTAAATAATTATTAACCCACACATCATTGTAAATAAGTTAAGTTTTAAATATCAGCAAAATTATGTACATAGAATGAATCAACTTTTAAATACTCTTTATTTTTTTTTTTTTTTTAGAATTCAAGGTGGATACGGGACCGTAAAATATCTAGATATTAAAATACATAGTTTCGAAATCTGATATTTGAAATCGATATCTGATTCAGATTCGGTACTCAGAAAAAGCGATACGACCCATCTCTAATTCATTCCATTGATAAAAGAATATTATTAGAATTATATTAAATGATTCATTCATACAATCAATGTCAATTTGACAAATGTCAGAATAAGCACTAGGTAAAACGTTCTATATCTCTCCAGAATGACACGAGAGTTGCAAGAGAGTATCAAATAAAATTAGCCGTTGTTGACGTTGTCGTACGCGATTTTTGGTTTGAAGTGTAGAAATGATAAGGACAATATTATATGATGAATGAGTTAAAAAAAATTCCATCATTATAGTCATTTCAGTATGTATTGAGAAGTGCCCAAATTTACACAGGAGGTTCAGACTCGGTAGTATAATCGTTTATTGAAATAAAAAACAAAGTTTTTTTTTTTATGACAAAAATGCCATTATATTCCCTAAAAAACAGAACGTGTTGACAATGCGGTAGTCATTCATAAATACCTAAATTTTACTGTGCACGAACTTGTGTGCGTGTTACATAAGAATGATCACGCGTAAAATAAATGAGTTGCGTATAAATCACGCACTTTCTGAGATAACTTCAAATGAATATAATTAATTACTTACGAGTGATTTTAAATATTTATCATTTTTTAAATAACATTATTTATGTCTAGAATTTAATAAAAAAAAATGGATACACTTAGAAAAGCCACCCTGTATGTCTACAGACTGTCACGAAGCACGATCCTGAGCCATCTAATCCATCCACTTCCTGCACGTGTCGTCACTACATCTAGTGGACTCCATCCTACACTGCGATGGCCAGTAAGAGGCTGACGCTCGAGAATCTTTCTTCCCCATCGGTTATCGGTTCTGCGAGGTATATCACCAGCCCAACGTCACTTCGGCTTACTAACCTTCTGAACTATGTCAGCTATCTTTGTTCTACTGCTTATATCTTCGTTGCGAACTCTATCACGCAGAGAAATACCAATCATAGTTCGTTCCATGGCTCGCCGAGTGGCTGACTTCGGTTCCATATGTCATCACACATAATGATTGAACTTAATGGTAAATAGCAAATACCAATTCAATAACCCACCAGAATTGTGCAAACATAGCAATATTATTATATCATTGTAATGAAAAATTCTAATTACAAGTAACTATGGACTTCTTCACTAACACTGCCTACTGATCTTATCACACACCTTTCGGAAAGGGGGGATTCTTATCACCTCCTAATACTACCTACACTAGGTACTTTCCTGTTATTTAGTTGAGTTTGACAGCTTCGTGTCGGAAAAAAATGAATTACGAAGACGACAACTGCATCTCTGCAACACCTTTTAACGAAATATGGACAGTTCGACTATGCTTATATTGATTCACTATTAGACAACAAGAACAACGCAGCCTGCATACGACGACATCTTGTGTAGACTGTGAATTGGGGACCTCGCATTCGCTGTGGTCGCCTGGTGTTTGCGGCCCTTGTGTCTGCCAGGTGTGTATAAGTTAGTGTATGCGGTGAATGCCACTGTTCTAAAAACAGTGTAATATAATCTGTAAATAAAAACGTGTTTTACAAAGCACCTAACATCCAGCATACGTTGATCTATATATTATTATTTTCAATAAAATAAGATTTGAAAGCGCACATGGTTTTCAAAACATAAATCATAAGATTTTATGAAAAAAGTATCCTATCATTTGAACATCCTGAAAATTCTTAGAAAAATGGACGAAAAGTTTTCCATCATTGAGAGGATTTAAACCGGCGTCTCAATTAAATCATTATTTTGAATTACTTCTTCTGGCTAAGTCATGTCATGCTCATGTAAGTCGATTTTCTATCTCTCGTCCACCGAGAATCCCGGTTGCAAGGTATGACGGCGTCTTGTCTTTGTCGTGCACCATATCCTTTGATTTCTTCGGATACCTGTCTTAACAGATTTTTTAACCGGAATTTTTTGTCTTAACAGATTGCTTCAAGTTTTACATTTTAGTTTCGGCTCTAGATAAAATGAATGTATAGATTATAGAATACACACTTACACCCGGTTTCTCTTTGAATTGAACACTTTTGGCAACGTAAAGGCCCATTTACACGATGCCATTTTCTTGAACATACAAGAGCAATAATTGAATGCAATAAATTGCGCGCAATAATTGTTTAGACCATTTCTTGTTTAGACCATGCAACTCATTTATTGCTTCAATTTAATTGTATATAACAGGCAAGAAACTTGCACCGTGTAAATGGGCCTTAAAAGACATTTGAGATGCCCTTTGCCAGCTGATAAGTTAATTTCTAAAATTTAAGATGTTGGTAACCGTGCTGTCAATGTCATTGTCAATCAATTGTCAATGTAAGTAATGTCATACAATGTGAATTGCGTTATTGAGGGAGTTTAGTTATTTAACGTTCTGAATCTAAATCGTATTAAACTCTCTAGTACCTTAATATTACGAGTATTAGACGTTTTTTATCGATTTCCTTAAACCATTGAACTATTTGTTTTAATTTGTAATAAAGAACAAATATGGAGTTCCTAAAAAGTGGACAAAATGTTTTAATTATTTGGAATAACAGTGAACAAAATGATATCTCAAATATTGTAAATGAAGTCAAAAGTGCTGTTGTTGAAGGGAACGTTTGTCTCGAGAACTCTTCAATGATCAGTGAATGTAAGTTTGGGCTTATTTTAACAAAATTTTTAAATACTAAATTGTATTTTTAAGTTAAACTTGTCGACTTTTGTGTTTCAGCTTCTCGACCGAAATCATCGTTTGATGTAGTTTTATCTAATTTGGTAGCGCCATATTCAGTTGTTCATAGTGATAGTTTGTTAGCAGTTGTTATTAAAATTCTGAAGCCTAGTGGCAGATTAATCCTGAAAGACAAAACTGATGTATCCAGTGTCTTAAAATTTAGTGGATTTCTTAATATCACAAAATCATCTGATAATTTGTACACTGCAGAAAAACCACAATTTGAGGTAAGATATGTTTTAGTACTTATTATTGTTTTCAATCTCTGTAGTAAATATTTAATGTGAAAACATAAAGGTTTTGATATTGTGATTATTTTCAGTGGCAGCAATAAGAAATTTTCAACTCTTAAAAATAAATTAATTTTTGTTTGTTAATATTAAATTTAAATAGTTTCGAATAAGAAAGATCCCGTCTAATTGCAATAATCTATAAGCAAACACATCTTTTTCTTATAATTGTTATGTTTTGAAATATGTTATATTATGATTTCAATATCATGATGTTATGTTATGATTTTAATGTTATATACCATATTGATTTATATACCAATAGATTGTATGATACCATTTAAACAATTATTTTAAATTACTTTTAATAACTCTGACTAATGATTTAATATTAAAATTGCATTGCATAACAATATAAATCTCTATATACCACCCTTAATCTTAATTAGCGCAGATGGCATATCAATAAGCTCTCTAAATCTTGGTTTAATTAGAAATATCTTCTGTTTACATAATCTTGTTCTCCAATTTTAATGTTTATCAATATAATTCCAGTTCAAAGAATGTGACACTGAGACTAGGTGGTGCAAAGATGTTTACTTTATCTTTTCTATCATATACATCTACCTTTATAATGAAATCATTTTAGGGTCAAACCTGTTGACATTCCCAAATGTATCTGTGTTATTTTTTTTAATGTTATGTACTAGTTTGTATAGCATAAATTATATTTAATAAATGAAACACCTATGTTTATATTTATTTTCAAACTTTAATAAGAACAATTTGAGATTGATTAATGATTAATGTATCCACTGAGTTAGTGTTTTTTTAATCAAATAGTTATTCAGTATTATTTGAACATTTTGAACTTTTAAAGGTGGGTTCAAAAGCATCATTAAACCTTGGTTCAAAACCTGCCATCTGGAAGTTAGAAGATACTGTAGAAGAAGTATGGGCTGGGACAAACGATGATGACATAATTGATGCAGATCAACTATTAGATGAAGATGACTTAAAGAAGCCAGACAAACAGTCACTTAGAGGTAGGTTATTTATGGTCGGACTGACGATGGTTATCTGGGTAAGTAGTTAGTAGGACAGTAGTCCATATACCCGCAGCGAAACCCTGTAGATAACCCGCGTGTGAAGATTATTTAAGCTATGTCAATAATATAGTCTAAAGTAAATCTCCCAAACCTGTCGTAAGCGCAGCAAATCGTTCGCGTTAGTGTCTGGGTTGGTAACCCAGACACTAACGCGAACGTCGCTCGGGCAACGTTCTCATTGACCCGGTCTAGGAAAGGGACTTAAGTACGTCGGACCCACCGTCGGGGGTCCCGCCAAATAACCATACAACAGATATATAGTTCATATCATAGTTCGCCTTTGAGCACGGCGAAACCAACACAACGTGTACACTAGGTACACCCGCGTTCCAGGGCGGTTCTCACCTCCCACAGCCACCGACTAACCAAGCACAGTCAACGGTCGTCGGGGTCATGGTCCGTACCGAACCTCGATAGGCGACATGCCATAATTAACGCATGCATGAGTACATGCCCTACCCACTGAGGAGGGTCTCAAACCCGTGGGTTCTGGCTAGCCTACCGGTTCTGCGTTCGATGAAACTTTAATAGTGTAAAGACTGAAAGCGTAACATCAGTTACACAATATAAAGTAATTTATATAAAATCTAAAGTCTCAGGGTTACAAATACCTAACCTCAGATTGTGTGATGTTTGATAGTCTCTTCAGATTAGAGCAAATGTTTATGAATACATGTGTTCTACCAATGCTCTAAATTCATTCATTCATAATCATAATTGAAAATTTATTAAAATAAATAAATTTTCATATAGTCTCAAATATACAATGGCAGAATCACAAACTGAATATGAATTTATTTAGAATCCATAATAGTTTAGTACACAAGACTACACTAAGAGCCGTCATAGCTCAGTGTCCGCAGTGGGCGCTCGCCTTTAATTCAATATACACGAGCAACCTGAGTTCGATCTCCGGTACCAACACCAACGAAATTTTTAATTTTAAGTGCTGAATTATCACGTGCTCCACGGTAAAGGAAAACATCGTGAGGAAACCTGCATATTTTCGAAAAAATAATAAAAAAAATATTTTCCAAGATATGTTAAGTCCGCCAATCCGCAGTGGGGTCGCGTGGTGGACTATGCCCTGATACCCTCTGTACAGAGAAGGCCTTTACCCAGCAGTGGGACATGTATAGGCTGACACTTTACTTTATTATTTAGTACACTAGGGAAAAAAAGTTGTTTAAATTTTTATTGATAAATATGATGATGATGTTAACAAACAGGGAAAAATACTGATTTGTTAAGTGATACGTATTTATGTATACTTTGGTTATTGCTATATGTATTATTGTTACGGCAATGTTAATACTTTATACACATCACTCACAATATATGTCAAAAAAAGAATAAATTATTCCAAATCGTAAACTACGCGTGCATTTATGAAGCTGTTAATGTAAAAAGAGAAATTATTAGTGGTACTGTAAACGCGGTAGTGGTACTGAAAACTGTGATTGATGATTTTTCGACATGATTTTGAGCATTATCACCCTAGCTATCAATTACTGGTTCACTGTTATCGTATTTAGTCAGCCTTACCGCGCAAGTTTTCGTGTCGTTCGCGCAAACGTTTTGTGTTCCAAGCCTTCCGAGGCCGCAGATACAAATTAAGGTCAACGCCTTTATTGAATAATATCGCTTCAGTAACGCGCCGGATTAAAGTAGTTCCGTGCCCATATAATGTTTAATGAACGTTTATTTGTATTTACCTATAACTTACGTTAAATAAGAAATAGAAAAACTTAATTATCAGCATTTTATGCAAATTGTTGCACGTCGAAATACCGATTTATTTATCCATGTAAGCTTTGTGATTGGTTTTAATTAATATAAATTTTTGTGTAAATAAAGCTGTCTTTTCACATAAGTCTATTCGTGATAAAAAATTAAAAACGTTTTGCCATCATTCTTCATATCTTCAGTGTTTACCTTTCGCTCGTCTTAATTTTTTATGGCAATTCAGGAAAATACTAAAACGTGTTTTTATGTGTTGTATACATATATTATAATTACAATAAAATATTCAAAAAGTATACATAAATAGGGTGTTGACAACTTGGAACATTTTTACTCAGTTTCCAAGTCAACAGTCCCTATTACATTCATTCTCATCTCAATCATTGTTTTTAATATTTTGTTGTATCATGTCACATCAGATATTATTTTGTTTCGAGATCAAGCTAGCAAACTTGAACATAAGTAGCGTTTGAAGGGCTTTTAATTACAACTAGTAACACTCAAATGTTGTTACATCCTAATATGGCGATCCTGCTGTGAAAATTATCTCTATGTTATTAGAATCTATTAATTTCCTCTTTTTTTGAGTTCTAATAAATATATTCGTCTTACAGAGAAAACTATTCTTTGCAGGAGAAATTTTGAAATATTTTACTTTAATTTTAATAGATAATTATTGTTTTGTTCATATAAGTTCATGATTCGATACAATAGTAGTTCTTTTTTTTAAATAGCATGATTTGCATGGGTTTGCAAACCTCAAATCTTCAACCGGAGAAAGCGTTCCAGTGAGCCAACACGAAACAATTTCTTGGTGCCTTCCCTACCGGATGTACTGTAGTGGACGACCAATCCACCTATCCGTATCCCCCCTGACCCTAATGTCCCCTTAGTCGTCGGTTACAACAGGCATGGGCTACTTTAGCTCTTTTACCAGCCCGCGATTGCGTGGCTGTGTGTTTGTTCTGATACATGACTCTGTCTCCCTTGTTTAGTAATAAGTTTTAGATTCTCATATTAATCTTGCAATAAACTTGGCGTTTATTTTTCTTCCCCTTTCGATTGCATTATCTACTTACTCTTACTGTCTCGACCTTTGTGGGGTCGGCACACACATGCGAATCTGTATGTCTGTGTATAACTGGTAGGGTCATGCAACAGTCGCTGTTGCCCGAATGGACAGGTCCGTCCGGGGAAGTACCCACACACACCACTCTCACAGAAGACCGGCGTGAAGTGGGAGCGTTATACTTCCGCGTCTCGTATGGTGAGTAAGGTTGCCGGGGCTCACTGTAGTAAAACGTGGCAACGTATCTGCAACCCTACGGGTGTTGCAGATGTCCATGGGCGGTTACCATTTAACTTCAGGTGAAGCGACAGCTTGCTTGCCACCTTCAAAAAACCACAATAAGAAAACATATTTTTAATAGTATTAGCGATTTGTACCGAGCAGCCTGCTTGACGCTAAACCTCCTTGGGAAGTAAAATCTGGTACCATTATCTGTGGGTCACACTAATACTTGTCCCGAAGGCAATGTGTTAGTAGTAGTAAATGCGTCAGCGAATCATTGCGTTTTTATACATTTTTTTTAAAGAAGTTTTAGTGCTTACTAAATTTAGGGCGATACAGATATAGGCGCTGCCTGAACATTAAAAGGTTAAGGTTGTGCAGTCATGAGGGGTTATGTGTGCTTTTTACAGTTTGTGCAACGACCGGCAAACGAAAGGCCTGCGCCGATTGTAGCTGCGGCCTGGTGGAGGAGTTGAGGGGGGAAACGAAGGAAACTCCGAAATCGTCTTGCGGCAGTGTGAGTACTCTCTCTCACTCAGTGTCTTTTTGTTCGCAGTTCTTTGAAGCTTGTTTAGTCACGTCACATTATAAAATAGGGAGTAATCGGTCCCTTATGTTTCTCTAAAATCTGAATATTAAATTGTATGCAGTTGTGTGACATTTAGCGCTTTTAGATTATATATTTGGCGGTTTTAACGGTTCCCCTTCTAGTCCGGTAATCCAGATAGACTAGCTTCTATAGTGCTGATTTAGGAAGTGAAGTAAATGAGTCCAGAAGTTGCTAACTGGGAATAAACCGAAAATTTATAAATGATTATTATTATTATATTAACATGTCAGAATTATTAAAATTATTTATTTTTATATTCCAGTGTTATCTTGGCGATGCGTTTCGTTGTGCTACTTGCCCGTACCTAGGTATGCCAGCCTTCAAGCCAGGGGAGCAAGTGAAACTTGACCTAAAATCTGATATATGAAATAGGCAAGACAATGCTAGGTCTGTAGGGACTGGGTGGCACTTCTCAGTCTTCAATTCCTTTTATTCGCAATTTTATACGCCATTAGATTAATTTGACAAAAGTATTCAATGTTGTGAACACCATGAATAAAAATGGTCCGTTTAATATGGTCGTTTCTATTGAAATCACCCTCGATTGATACCTTAATATAGAGTCACGGAGTCCTGAGTGGAAATTCTTCACTGTTGTAGGCACAGCCGCCGAAGTGTTACGGTAGGTATAGGGAAGCCCGGCGTGAATTAGAAATATTTGGTGAGTGAGGTATGCAGCTGTGACTTTGTGAGTATTTTAAATATTTAAAATCGACGATGATCCCACATAGTAGGTTAAGCGCACCATCATCATTTACTAAAAATTGGGTGTTCAAAAGTTAATTAAACGTCATAAAATCCGTAAGTTAGTTGTTATTAAAATGTAACTAAAAGACATTAAAGTAAAATGATTACTTGAGTTATTATTAACTCAATAATTATATACAGCGTGTCGTTTCCATCGCGACAATAAATGAACACACGTCTAACGCTACTTGCCAATAATCATAAAAAAATACTAACGTTAAAAAAATCCATAATTAAAAAAATATTTTTCAAACAAACTAATTAAGTAAAAAAGAAACAAAATTTATAACATCCTATACAACTCGGGCCACAGCGTCGCATTACAAGCCTCTCCTTCTAATAGTATGTTTTGTCTCTTTTAAATTCATTCAACCCATTCATATGCTTTGTGACCTTTACAAATAAACTTTACGTTACAGTTTTATACGTAAGGGTGTTCTAAAATTCTTTGTTTTGGAAAATTTAATAACTCTGTAAATATTGATGTTTAAAGAATGTAAATTTTTGATACAATTTTAAAAAGTTATCCTCTATATGTGTGTTCATTTATTGTCGCATTGGTAACGACTCGCTGTATACATTCGTTACAACCGCGACAATAAATGAACACACGTCTAAAGCTTGCCACTAAGTGTAAAAATATAAAACGTTAAAAAATCCATAATTAAAAAAAAATTTTCAAACAAAATAATATAATAAAAAAGAAACAAAACTTATAACATCCTATACAACACAACTGACTGATTCATACATTCAGACAATTTTCATTCGTTGCCGCAGCGTCGCACAAATCTCTCCTTCTAACAGTATGTTTTATCCCTTTCAAGTTCATTCAACCCATTCATATGCTTTGTGACCTTTACAAATGAACTTTACGTTACAGTTTTATACGTAATAATGTTCTAAAATTCTTTGTTTTGGAAAATTCAATAACTCGGTAAAAATTGATGTTTAAGGAATGTAAATGATTAATACAATTTTTAGTAAGTTATCCTCTAAATGTTTATTGATTTATGGTCGCGTTAGTAGCGACACGCTGCATATATATTGATGTATAATGCACATTGATGTTTGTTATTACGGAGCCGACATCTGGCGTGTTAACTTTACTGGCAGTTTTGCATTTGCTTGATAAATAATTTTGATAGTAATCGCTAGATGGCGCTTGTATTTAAGGAGTCTCATCAAAAGTAAATATTAAATTCTACGAAAATGTAAGCCTATAATCGCTCATAACAAATATCACAACATTGCAGATAGAATTTAGTAAGTAGGTATTTCATACTCTCTAAAAGTAGTTAAGTAAAATTTCTTTCGACACTAGTTTCATATGAATATACAAAAGTATAATTTTAGAAGTAATCAGCTGGTTAATTAATGATAATTATAATATTTGTTTATTTCCGACCATGATCTAATACATGTAAGTATATAAGCAAAATACCCTTTTGCTTATATTTTACTGAAAACTATTTCAATAATTAAACGAAGTTAAAAACGAATGTAATTGAAATAATTATAATTTATTTATGCCATCCTTGAGAACCGGGGAAGTGTAAGTATCCAATACCGCAAAATCAGTCAGTTCATGAAATTAAATGTAAATCATTAGTGTTGTTTTCGCTAAACATATTTGGCGCATTACAAAACCACGATAGACTCACTGAAATATTTTTCTAATGCTGCACGTGTTGAAAGACTGGCAGTATGCCTTAAATCGTCGTGAGGAAACCTGCATATTTTCGAAATAATAATAGTAATAAAAATATTTCGCAGTGGGGCCACATTTATATGTGAAGTCCGTCAATCCGCAGTGGGGCCGCGTGGTAGACTATGCCCTGATACCCTCTGTATAGAAGAGGCCTTTGCCCAGCAGTGGTACATGTATAGGCTATCACTTTACTTTTATGGCTTTTTTTTACTTAATAGAACCATCAATGCCGGTGCTGCTGTTCTCTAATAACCATTTGATTAATGTACAGATTGTAGCCGAAGCATACTTTATGCCAATTCCTCCCGATGAGATTGGGTTCATAGCAGAATTTAAAAGTCCGAGCACATCGGGCAGCGTCAATACAAGCAATCTGTTACTAAACACATTATATAATCCATGTTGGCCTCGTCACCAGTTTTATTTTTGATCCTAATGATTTACATCAAAACACGTCATAAATACGTCTCAAAACACAATTAGGTCCAGCAAGTTGAATGTATGACATAACATATTGAGATGAAGATGGGGAGATAAGCATTTTATGATTTATTTTATTATCTGTGCACTTGATGTACAAGTGTTTTTTTTAAAGATAAATTGTCGAAAAATATGAAATGATCCTGCGGCCTGCGCCTTCCGGCTAATGCACGTAGACGCTCTAAACTAAGTGTACGATCATGTCACGACGCAAAAATCTACTTTCTAATGTCCATCTACTTCAAGTGTTTTAGCAATGCTTGACGTCACCACGTGTGCCGGCCTTCCGAGGTCTTGCTACTTTTCCGCACTAACCGGTTCGTTCAAAAACCAGCAACGTCCCTCCACGACAATAAATCTTATTCAACACTTACTTAGGATATATTGGGACACTAAATAAAAAAACCATGTAGCAAATATTTCATTATACATATTTTCTCTTTCTTTTTACAAACAGTTAACTTAGTTTTAACATATCTCGCTCTATAACATTTTCCATTTAGATTTATGTGAAATATTACTCAATCCGCTATACAATAAAATATACATATATTTTGCCGTATTCGTCATATAATTATGTAACAATTTTATAATTATTTAATATTTATCTATTAATTAAATGACACAACATTTCCTGTTCGCTACAGTTGTTGCATATTGAAAACAGCGTATTTGCATCATAGTTAACCATTGTTGAGATGTTTGTCACACGAGATGTTTAGACGTTAGAAAGTCGGTCTGTTTCCAAAGTTTTATAACATAGGTTTATGTTAAGATATGAAATATGCAACAACAGGGTAAACTTCGTAGCCGTTTCATACAATCCATATGTCATTACAAACATGGACCTTCCAAATATCGAGAAGCCTGTAAGGATGGCACAATCATTTGTGTCAAAGTATATTGGGTTAGTGTTGGTAAACTAATATTAAGGACTATCGAACCATTACTGGCCGTATCTAACATTGGCAACATCAAAAGAAGTATTCTCTTAAAGTGAATCTTTCGTTATTGAACGTATCCTAACGTAAATATAATCGTACCAATTTTCAGTCACTCGGAACTCTTCAACAATGCGATCCATAAACTTTCTGTGCAATATATCTATCAAAATATCTAAAATAGAGAACATGAAAAATTTCAGCACTATTGCTGACCGATTGGTTCGTAGCAGAAAGATATACAATTTTTGTAACGATGGAAATTCTTTACAGAAAAAAAAATGAAACAATACCGATCACATCAAAGCAAGTGTTTTTCGTTTAACCGTAAATTTTTATTATTTTTTTTTATTTACAAATTGCACAAAACCTTATTTTAATATTAAGAGTTGATCCATCTTTCACGCAGTAGGTATATTGAAAGTAAAATAATTAAGACATAAGTGTACGAGGAAAAAATACATTTGAAAATCGAATGAAAACAATTGTTGGAAAGCAATTTCTCATGAATTACAATAAATTACAGGTAAACGTTATAATATACTACTTAGACAAATGCTCTTACACAATTGTATAAGTAATGATACATAAATATTAATTATTTTACCCTACGCTAATATCAGATACACGGAAGAACAACGATTGTGCCAATAACTGTTGTAAAAGATACATTGAAGTTCATCAACAGAAACATACTATTTTATTACATGTAAGAATTTGAACCACTTCCTCGAAAACTTTTTAATCGTCTTTAAGCAAAAATAAATTAATACTTTTTGAATTTGGATTTTGGGAAATAATACTTTTTGTAGCGAATTTTGTACTAAACGATTGTCCATCCTGTCGGAACGTCGCTGTTCGCGTCCGTCCACAAAATAAATGCTCCTATCTCATAATTTAAGTAATATCTTCGAAGAAACTACTATCCCACAACATTCAGTAAAGCGTCCCAGTCTTTTTAAAAGTTTATTTTCATCAAATTGAGATCTTGCTTCGACTTGTTTGCGACCGGCTCTGAGGAGGCCACGCCGTGCTCTGCGCATGACGTCACTCGGTGAGACCCTAGTCTTAAAGTTTGTGAGGTAGGCTTAGTCATGATCTAATGAAAGCGCCTTGTTAGAAAATACCGATTAATAAAATGAGATCTTTCATTAAAATTACGAATAATATTATATAAAAAAAAAAAAACGATAAAACTAGAATTACATACATTATACAACAAATTATTAACTCTCTTTTACAACACTATCCGACGTCGGCGATGTGTTCGTACAAAACGATGGTCGTTTGTTAATAAACATATATTTAACAAGCACTTAACAGTTGACGGTACAATGAAACAAACCCCTATCAAGCCACATCCGTTTCCGCGTAGTTATTATCGGCTAGACAGAGTGCGACATGGTTTGGCAAGTTTAATCACATCACTAAGTCGCAGCGAACTATGGCGAATCACTATTACAAGTCTCCCAATTTATGGGCATGATAAAACGTTCAACAGTCCACTCTTTTTGCCATCGCCCGTAATGAAGAAATTTAGATACGAGTGATAAAACACTGCGCCTGTGTACTCAAATTTAATCTGACAATATGTTCGTTTCGTGTATTAAATTTTTCGCAGTAACAATTATCGGGTGAAACCTTTAAACAAAACATGATCAATAACTAACGTGGCACCTTAATAATATTCAAAGAAAAATGAATAATTTTTGATATGGCCATGCGTTTATCGTTAATCTGCATAACGTTATATGTATATTAAATCACAATTGCTATTTTTTTTTTCATTTGTATTAAATTTAACTTTTGTTTTTTGCGTATCATTTTCGAGTATATGTAAAGTAACTATACAACTTCTTACCAATAACGCACTTATTATTCTAAAACATATATTTTCTTTATTCAAGCAATACTTCATACCTACTCTGACCTACAAAATATCACAGACGGTGTGTTTATTATGTATACATCTTCTCATAGAAAAGTTCTGTGTATCACACATGGACGTCAAAAACCAATAGAGATGGCATCTAATAACCATGACCATTATACATATATATATTTTACAATAAAGGTATCAACAACATTTATATTTATATATGTTCAAATTATTTGTCAGAAGAGTTATTTGTCCGCTAAGTACTCGCTGAATCAATCTACCGTATGTCGATAGAGTGAAGATGAAACAGAACGTTTGACCCAATTCTATTGCAATGTATGTATTTAACGCGACACGCATTCGCACGATATGTTCGCAGTCACAACCATAAGGGAAGAGTGAAACCGATCGGATTGCTTGCGTTGAGCCAAACTCAATCTAATTCGGAAACCCGCAGATCTCGACAGTCGATCTGATCTTAAGCACATGTCAACCTATCACTAACTACTAACGTTCATTGTACCTTTAACCTTCTCTTCTTCGTTTAGAACATGCATTGCCAGATGTCTCGGTAGACTGGCGTTATAAAATCTCATTATTTATCACAATATCTAACCTACTTTTAAGATCTGGTATTAATTAACGCGTTGTTATTTTGTGCTCATTTAGAAATTATATACTCCATGTTATACTGCCTTTTAATGCTTAATGTGAAGAAGCCCTCATTAAATCAGAATGTAATAATGACACCGATATTCACTGAATAGATTTATAATAGGAATATTTTAATGTGCTCTTTAAAGTGACTTTAATTTTTTAATCAATACTTCGCGAGACGGTCTTTTTAGTGTAAACGATACCAGCGCTTTTGTGACATTACATTGGTCATGGAGTTCAACATTCAATAGACGTAAGTAACCTATTTACAATATCATACACAAACGCGTATAGAAGCACCCGACAGAAATAAGCACCTAGAGTTCCCCAATAGAATGTAAGCGCAGGATCAGCGGTCGCCGCGGAGGCTACATTACATTACGCCTTGCGCGAAACGCTCGGCCAATTCACTGGGGCGGTCTATTACCTATGTTGTATCGTGACGTCACCCGGTCAACGTTACGGCTGACGCGGTCCACGATACGGTCCGTTCGCTCACGAGTGATCCGCGAAACTTATGATCGCACAAAAGTCGGTAGCACGCGACAATAGGTCTTCTTCACACAAGCGTCTTCACTTGTAGCGCTCAGCGCTTTTTGAGCAGCGGACGATCCTCCTCGTTCGCGTCTGAGGCGGACCAGCGTCGCTTGCGCGAGTCTTCTTTTACGCTGAGGTTCTCGGGATGCGTTTGGGGCGGGGCGGGCGCGGGGAGGCAGCTGCCGACCGAGCTCGTGACAGCGTTGCTCGTAGCGCACATGCTGCTCGAAACACCCATGCCGCTCGTACCTCCCATTCCGCTCGAAACTCCTATGCCGCTCGTAACTCCCATACCGCTCGTTAGTCCCATGCTGCTGGTGACGCAGTGGCCGCTCGTCGTCGAGCTCGCAACCACTCCGGCATTGGCGGCCGCCGCGTGGTTTCTGGCTACGAGGGAGACGCACACGTCGCCGACCTGCAGCCTCTGCACGCGGAGGCCGTACCTCGCGAGGGTGCGCTCCGGCTTACACGACGCCCAGCCCCTGCCGTACACGAAGAACGGCCGGTCCACCGTCCAGTCCAGTTCGACCTGAAACCAGCAAACGTGTGCGATGATAGAGCATGTTCGGATGACGGGAAGCTTGTGGACTTCGAAATAGAGTGGTGGAATTTACTCCCGTTTGTGAACTGACTCTGCGATAGATGTCTGATCATATTATATAATCAATACGCTGATGACGTAATCGGGATTGCGACCGTATGAATTTGAAGATGTTATTAATTAGCTCAAAATATCGCAGTTCTTTTAGGAAAAGACACGTATTCGCCGTACCTCATAATAAGTAGAAGAATAGATATTTTCAATATGGTAATGCTAATGACAGCATTAAGATCTTGAAAATATCTAACCAAGCCGTGATAGCTCATTGTTTCGGGCGTTCGCTTTTGATGTCATATACTCCACCAGCACCCTGAGTTCGATCCCCGGAACTGGCACCTTCTCAGTGGTGAAGAAAAGCATATTTTCGAAATAATAACAAAAAAAAAATCATTTCGAGGATATGTGAAATCCGCCAATCCGCATTGGGGCCGCTTGGTGGACTATGCCCCACTGTATGGGAGCAGTGGGAGTGTGGTGATTTGGAGGCTGTTACTTTACTATTGCCAATGTCCTTCTGCTCTATTTTACCTGTGTGCGATTCCTGTCGTAAGTGAGCGTGAGAGCCAGCTGATCGCCCCGCTCGTCTAGGCGCAGCAGCGTGCACTTCGTCAGCGCCAGGTCGTTGCTGCGACTCGCGCTGCTAACGAAGTCCTCAGTCCTCATCTCCTCCACACGCCTCAGGGAGCCGTCCTCTAGTCGGATCATCGCGCCCCGGTAGAAGTATGGGGCCGGCGTGCCCCGCTCGGGCGACATTGCACCGTCCTGAAGATTGAGAACGTTGCATTGAGTATCATGCTATACCGGAATAACTATGGGATACTATTTTATATGATTAAGAGCAAAGTACAGTATTTTGTGACTGTGATGTAATTGCGAGCACAATATGTTCCTAATTACAACTGTATGCTGCAAACGGGTACGTGATCGTAGAAAGATTAACGCGTAAAGGCTCTTTTTTATGTAAGAAGTTGGCAAGCGATGGGGGTTGGGGTTACAAATGCGTTGCCACCTTTCAATAAAGTGGGCTCCGGTTACCTCATTCAGCAGACGAAACACAGAAGTAAGTAAGAAGACTTCACGGCGGTCGTGGTATTTCCCCGGACGGGCAGGGCCGGATTTAGGGGAGTGAAACCGGGGCTGCTGCCCCGGGGCCTCCACAAAAGAGGGGCCCCCACGATAGAGATTATATTTATACATTTGTTAAATAATAAAATAATCTATACTTGGTTTCACGATAAATTATTTATTGGAAAACTAAAAAAAGTTTTGGAAAACTAAAAAAAGGGCCTCCACTCCTTTGTTGCCCCGAGGCCTCCAGACCTCTAAATCCGGTCCTGCGTACGGGCCTACCCAGTCGTGAAATACGTAGAAGACTGCTGCGTGGCCTTACCACATTATATACTATATACGAGTATATACAGCGTGTCGTTAACATCGCGACAATAAATGAACACACATATAGGGGATAACTTTTTAAAGTCGTATTAAACATTTAAATTCTTTTAACATCAATATTTACAGAGTTATTAAATTTTCCAAAACAAAGAATTTTAGAACACCCTTACCTATAAAAGCGTAACGTAAAGTTCATTTGTAAAGGTCACAAAGCATATGAATGGGTTGAATGAATTTAAAAGAGCCAAAACATGCTGTTAGAAGGAGAGGCTTGTAATACGACGCTGTGGCGCGAGTAGTATAGGATGTTACAAATTTTGTTTCTGTTTTACTTAATTAGTTTGTTCGAAAAATATTTTTTTTTAATTATGGATTTTGTTTAACGTTAATATTTTTTTATGATTATTGGCAAGTAGCGTTAGACCTGTGTTTATTTATTGTCGCGATGGTAACGACACGCTGTATAATATACACTTAAATTACATATGTGTAAGCGGTGTTCGTTCCCTATTTGCACTACAATGTATGTGCGTGTATAAAAACAATGAAAATAGCATCAAACAGCTGATACGAGTAGAGACTGCTTCGATATGGGTGTTGTATTCTCACCTCGATTGAGGGAGGTGCGGGCGCGGTTGTCGATGCGGGCAGATCGAGCGGCGCAGGCGGCGCGGGCGCCGGCGGCACGAAGCCCGAGGAGGACCTCGGCCGCAGCGGGTAGGCGGCGGGCGGCTGCGGCCTCGCTCCGTACAGGTAGGCGTAGGGCGCGTGCGGCAGGAAGGGCGCGTAGAAGGGCGGCTGCGCGGACGGCTCGCGCGGCCTGCGCGCCGGGTAGCGCGGGTAGGGCCGCGGCGGCGGCGCGAGGAACTCGGGCGTCATGGCGGCCGCCGGCGGCGCCGGGTACAGGTGGCCCAGGTGCCCCAGCTGCAGCTGGGCCAGCGCCTCGCCGGGGTGGCTCGCCGAGATCATCGGGTGCGCTGCGATCGGAAGCGGGGCGCGTTAGGGTTTTTTTCTTTTATTTTAAGGGCTTATGAGGAAGGAATGCCTACGCATACCCGCCGTCGAAGGGGTCTTTTGACCACTTTCAGAGTTCCTAATAATTATAAATATTAAAATGTAAATGAATTTTAAACTGTATATTAAGTTTCCAGGTTCAAATTACTTCATAACAAATACAACAAACATTGTACAAACAAATTTGGCGGTACGTTAACAGTCGCTATGCAGTCTTCCTTATTTGTACTGATGTTATTAAATATTAAAACTAATAAATAAACAAATATAATAATCTTAGCGGTTTTTTTTAACTTAATTACCGTGTCTAAATGGCTCATTGTTGACTAACATCGCAACTGATGGTCCACTTTGTTGTTAAAAAGTGCCTGTTAGACATGTTGCCCCATTAAATAATGAACAAAGTATTCGAGAATTAAAAATAATTATCACATTACTTCTCGATGGCCGATCAACACGTCAACACATACATCAGTGAAGTCGTGCCTTTTAAAAGGAATTAAACTGTATACTAAATTACATGTAGATTATGTTTAAGAATAAAATCTATTTATAAAGTTTACGCAGTTGCCCTACATTCTTATCGCTCACATTCAGTCTGCGTTACAGCCACGCACACAAGGAAATGCCACAGATGTCCGATTTTACTATGTGGGAACGAGATCGCTCCAAGCAAGGATGTCGTTAAAGCAAGTCAAATATTGCATAGTTGGTTACACAACAAATCCTTAATAGCACAGGATATTGCTGAGGCTTGTATATGGAGTATTGACACACTCGTTCAATATGCTACGCGACATCTGATGGCCGTATGGCTACTTTCAAATTATCTGAGCGACCTGCTATCGACTCACAGCCAGGTTACTTCAACATTACAAACTAAAATATTTTTTTTACGTGAAAAAGTGGCAAACGAGCTGGCGGTTAACCTGATGTTGGTGATAACCGCCGCCCATGGACATTTGCAACACCCGTAGGGTTGCAGATACTTTGCCACCTTTTAATAAAGTGGGCCCCGGTTACGTCACTCACCAGACGCAGATGTGCAACACTTATACTTCACGCCGGGCTTCTGTGAGATCGTGGTACTAACCCGAACGGACCTGCCCATTCGTGCAACAGCGAACACTGTTGCGTGGTCCTACACATTTATTAGGATATATCCGTCCCACGGCTAACGATTGACCTCGAGACATTATACTGCCGACTGATAATCTGCTAATTAAAATATTACTGAATATAATTGAAAATATTCGCTTAACATTTTATAATATCATTTCCACATTTTAATAGGCACATTTAATGTTTGTCATCTTTTATTAGGCATGTCAAAGGTTGCCAACTACTATGTATGTCGTCACAATAGCTCATGCAAGTCCATTTTTATTAACAAAAAACAGAACCGACTTCAAATATCTCACTCACTATAACTTTTGCATTTGATTTTGAGAATGTCTCTAATGTGTGTCGCGAATCCAAGTTCCATTTGCCATTGACAATAAAATAGTTATGTTAAAAGAATTTTTAGAATCGGTTCGTAAATGACAGTTCAGAGGTAACAAACGTAACGACTTGAGTAAATCCTCCTTCTTTAAAGTCGGTTGAAAATTAGGCGTTTTTGTCAATTATCCGTTACGCAACAATTGTATTATCTGGAGAAAAAAGCTCCCAATCCACATCTCTGGGGAAATATTTTATTATAAATAAAAGATTGTGGGCACAAATTGCATATATATACATTAATACATACAATCAAACAAATTTCAAATGAATTTGATTAAAAGTAATTCAGTCAAATGCAACCAATTTTTTAAGTGAAGAGCTACAACTAAATAGAAGGCCTATTTAGTTGTTTTTGTTCAAAATTTAAGGTGATGATTAGATTATTGATGTATCGAAAAACGAGAAAGATTTGATCGGAGGTAGGAAATTTTGTACAATAGGATTTTTTTATGTTTATACTGAAGACTTTGTGGTCATGTGTGCTTGTGATTTTATTGAACGACTAAAGCGTCAACCTTTTGTTCAATACTGTATGCTAGCACAGAGAAATGCAGTGTTTATTATTTAGTCTAGCAGTGCTTACAAAGGTTGGCTTATTATTGTAATATTTCCGATTATGCAATACAAGTATAGGTATGTTCCCACTACTACTTTCGAAAAAGTATCGCGTATTATGAGAATATTTATTAACATAGTTCTTAAATCTTTATTTTATTGTATTAATTTATTTTAACATTTTTGAAAAGTTTCATTACAATTGCGAACGTGAGTAAAATCATATTATTTTATTTTTGTATAAAAATTTTTAATTTAATTTGAAAAGCATATTCTTAATTATGAATAAAGCAGACTTAAAAATTATTATAGACATTTAAGTGTTTTTTTAACAATTGTTTGACATTTCATAAGTAAATTTTACAAAATAGCGATATAATTATCTCAAGCTTAAATACATACTACAGTAACGTTCATATATACAAAAACCTAGTAATTGCAACCATAAATAAAACAGTATTGATACAAACGATAGAGAATGTATACAAATAGACAGTTTACTACTATAAAGGTTTGTTGTCGATATATGTTCATAATTGTATTAATCATAGCGTTGTATAAGTGAGGTTCTTATTACCGCGAACTGTTTGGTCTAGCTCGATAATAAATAAACATGAGCTATATGTAAAACCTATGAATAACAGTTAGTAACTAATGCTTAGTTTAAAATCGTTCTCATGAAAATGAGCTCCGGTGGGCTTTGGGTTATACGAACATTATTAAGATTTTTATAGCCAAATTACATGTAATGTGACTCTCTCCCGGACCACATTACATATAATTTTAGTTTTTAATGCTTTATAATTCATAACAAAATAACAAAAAGCCCACACTGCGCCAACCCTTTTGTAGAAAATTTCATTCTAAGTGAGTTAAAAAACAAACGGAACGGTGCAAAAATTCTTCGAAAGAGGGACTTTGCCCATATCCTGCCTGTATCCTTTTTAACATTGTGATAATAACACTTCATGTGTTTATTAAATGTAGAACTTTTTCCTCGGACTGTAAACAAAGCTTGTATTTTCCTAAGAAAGGAATTTAAAAAAGACGAGTAGCGAATAGTCAGCCGACAGGGTATGATTGTGCTGGGGGCGATAATTTCGAGAACAAAGAATGACCGGCCGACGCACCTGCGCAAACAAACAGGCATAAAGTTATGTATAAAACACATGTCTTGAGGGTATGCAAGAGTAGTAAATTCTTAACACCTTAGGTAATGGAGACGTTAAACATAAGCGGGGAGAGAAAATAGCTACAAATAAGTGTTGCTATACATTACAAAGATAAAGATTCAATAAGAAAGAAAGAAAATAAATTTATTTACCAAAAAAGGACGCACACAACAAAAAATTAGAAAGAGAAATAAAGAAATTTTGAAAAAAAAATAAAAATAATACACATAAGAGCAAAGAAAAGAAAAACAAAATCTGTAATACAAAAATCATACAAAAATCTATGGCGATAAAAAACAAAAGAAAAATAAATCAATTTAAAGGAAAAGAATTGTACGCCCTATTATCGGTAAATTAGGTCAGCACTCAGCGTTATGCTGTGCCGGAAGTCAACACCCCAACACAGCGCTGATTTTCAGTGCTAACCTTCATACTTCATGATAGTTAAAAAAAATGTACATTACATTGTGATTTTAGTTCCGTAGACAATTAATTGACGCGCTGTATACAGTATACGGGAATTTCGTGCTTTATGTTATTGTGTTCTTTACCACACATTGTTACTGGTGAATTAGTAGAATAATAATAAAATAAAGAATTTTATGAAAATTTGGCATCTTGTTTACCCATTTTTCCGTGTTTACCGTTTCACCTATTGATGAAGATTTAAAATCAATCAATTACTTCTAAATCGCAGAGTCTGGACGCAACATGAAGCAATTTTATTAGTCGTGATGATTAGAAATCCTTTTAGATATCGTACAATTACAAAAGTGCAGTTCTTTCAATGTTAATAGTCACGAGCCTTGGTGACCTTGCTCTTAAATTAGCTGTGAAACGTCTATTGGGTTCGTTGATTTTATCTATTTTTGTTTTGTCAATAAATTTTGACACAATTCTAAAAGTGTAAAGAACTGAATTAGATCAATTGATTTCTAAAACATTTGTTATATGAGTGATGTCAGTAAAAGACGAATACTAAAAATTAGTATTTAATTAACTTTATTGTCTACAATACACGTTCTAACGTGTATTACGTACGTTTTTGGCCAAAAATTATTTTTCTATGACACGTTCTGCAGATGGGTCGTGTCTTTAACAACGTTAGTGCATCTTTATTAAGCACTTAAATTAAATTGTATTCAATAGAAACACGACATATATAACTTGAAATAAATCAAATATTAATTATAAATCGTTTGATTTACTACTGGGTTTAAGCACAATAAAACGTACTTCATTGTAAGAAATTATTTGATGAAAACGGTAGTCAATCATCTTAAAGTGGAGCATGCCGGGTTCTTATCGACAAGTCAGTGTGCGAGTAGAGATTATGTTAGTTCGTGTTCTATGTGTATATAAAATATAAAAGTACTAAAATACAAACTAAAAACTCTTTAGGTTAGGTGAGGTTATACGATAAAAACTAGAGGCATACGATTTTAACGAAATCTATATCTGTTTTTGCATTGAATAGTATCGTATTCTCGTTTCTTTTTACTTTATTTCAACCGTCGAGCATACATTTCGTCTAATTTAGTTAACTATCGCTATATATAATTACGCATGTATATGGCAATCACATTAATATTCGAAATTATATTTTGTTCTGTCGTAACTCTTAAGTTGCAAATAAAGACCACACGGCTGACATTTTAGTTGTCTTCGATCAACCTCAATTTAGTTCTCATTATAAATAATAAACAATTATGTTGAATGAGCGTTCAATATTTTATTATTGCGCTGTATACTATAATAAATATTAAGGTAAAGGAAAATGTAAGTAGAATTTAACGAGAGGTTTCTCAACCCGTATTCCGAGTATTAACAAATATTAGCATGTTTGATGGAATACTGGGAGAGGAAATAAAAAAGCTTATGTTTTTTACGGACGGGATGAACAAGAAAGATCATATTTAGAGTTTAGATGGTTACTTATCAACATCACTATAACCAGGGCTATATGTTAGGAGAAAATAGTTAATAATAATCTTACCAATCATTATTTTGGGTGCTACTGCGTTGATAAAGGCCCCCAATAATAGTTTTGCTCAAATATATTTCATGTACAGACGATCAGTTACATTTTTATTATATGTATAGAAGAATAGATGACTGTGGCGCATTTGCTACACTATTGCAGCGCCGTGTGTATGACCCACAGATGATTATTTGGGTTCTGGGTGTTACAATTTAATTTATGTAATATCTGAAATACTACATACATATAAAGTGATCAATATGCTACAGAAGTAGTCGAAATGGTTCTAAAATATTCCGTTATTCTAAAAACTTCATGTTCAAAACCTTAATATAGTAATTGCTTAACATTTTCCGTTAAATCGCGTATATTTGAATTGCAATTTCTATTTGTAGTTTCTATTCGAAATATTTGTGAATTATAACTAATCAGTAAAACAATACTGGTAATATAGAATTATCATCCCATCATTCCGTCTAAAATTAGATCCAATATAATGGCTAGGATATGCATAATAGTTAAAAATAAAATGTGAGTTTTATCTTAGAAAGAGTTTGCATTTATGAATCACGGCACCATATGTGAACAGTGACTCAGTGTTTAAAAATTTAAGTGTGAGATAAATAAGGTTAAACTAATTTGTTACTGTGTTATGTGGAGTACTGTATTAAAACTCTCTTGACCTTTAACTATTCAGTTCAAGATATGACTATGTAAAAAGCAATGTCTCAGAAATGTGTTCATTCATTCATTATCTAACATGAGAAAGGAAGTCTAAAAATTTATCGTGGCGTTTATGGAGTATTCATTACGATAAAGTTAATTGTTCTGCAATGTACATAATTATAATTTTCGTGTGTGTTCTAATTTTGAAAGTTGGCGTCGGCGTCGATTGCCCGGTCTGAAGTTTGCCGATTGTAGTGTTGGAGCGTAGGCGCAGCACAAGGCCACGGGTTCGCCCGCCGTCTGGTAAAAAACATCGCGATGAATGACGGGCGAGTTTCGCGGGCATTTCGAATTCCGAGTGGAAACGTTCCGCGACGGAGCAAGCGCATTGCGCGGCAAAAAAAAAATGGCAGCGACGCCTGCATAGATACTAGTTAATAAGTTACGTAATACGATAGTGCTAATTTTATTTGTCCTTATTTATCTTAGCGTAAGTTACTTGACTGTTCGAACTATTTTTGTTGAGTAAAATTTAAAACATTAAAAATTTTAAGTCTCGCGAATTCCTGGAACTTTGAAATTGTCCAGAATTACCAAACTAAATTAAAATTGAATTTGTAAAACTTATTTTATGGAGCTATGAGCCTATGACTCAAAGTTAAACAATGCATTCACCAGGTTATCTCAAGATAAAAGTTTAAAGCTTTTAACCCCATGAAAAGAAAGTGAGTGACTGATAATCAAAAATTAGCCATTTATTCGATAAAAAGTTATAACCGTAATTGAAAAGTCTGTTTTCGAATTTACAATATTTGGAATTACAGGTATCTTTTAATATTATGTTATTAAAAAAGTAATGAATATTCAGACACATATTTAAATTTTAAGAACTCTATTTACAAATATTTTGTACTGGTCGGCTATCTTTGAAGTCGGATGCGTTGCTATCTTTGAATAAAGAGGGCCCCGGTTTCCTCTTCATTGAGTAGTTGCAACGTAGAAGTATAAATAAAGAAGACACAAAGTAAGGCTATCCTGAATTTAAATAATTTAACTCTATGAATAGAACTAAGAAAGTAGAATTTAAATATAAATCTCCCTACCTTCTATAGAAGTGGTGGTTAATTCGAAAGCGTCTCAGCTGATGCCAAAGCATAAAAAAACACTGCCGGATATCCGTCACACCAGAAAAGTTGCAAATACGATGCCGGCTTTTGAGAAAATAATAAATAGGCTCTTAAAGGTCCCTAACTCTTTGAATCTTTTGTGACATTAAGGTTGTAGAATCCGATCTATAACCTATCCTAATTTTGCATGATTCCCCCGAGTCCCAAGACTCCCTCGAGGGGGTAATTCTAAAGTAGAAAATTCTGCTTATTAGAATTAGAGTAGATCAGACACTGGATCAGCCTGTCGAATATTTATTTCGTTGAATTCTAAATGTATTTGTATAAGCCTTTCCGAACAATACATTCAAAGTTTTCGGTCTTTGTGTTATTAAATAGATATATTTTATTGACTGACATCATGTAAAAATTATTTCAAGAAAATTATGTATGGGTTGCCATGGTAATACCGTGAAGTTGGTCGCTTAGCAACAAACTTCATAATGTCGCTTGTTGGCTGTCGATGTGCGCGCGTATCGAATAATTTAACTCTCATTATATTTTCCAAACGTGCCCAAAGACGTTTAACTTTAGAAATACCCAACCTTTCGAGAACATCAGCATCCGTGGCATCGAAACAAACTGTGTACTATTTTCGATTTTGCAAGTATATTTAGCTCGATAAAATCACCGAGCCAACAGCTCTATTTTACCCAATATTCACGATGTTGCAATAAATATGAGAACTTGTTTCGTTTAATGCCCGGCCTGACAACCCTAGGCCGGTGCGAGGCGGTGGTAAGCACGGCCGGCAGCGGTCGATATGGCGCCGCCCGTAACCCACTTCCGGCGCCCGTGACCTTGCCGCCGCCATTCACGGCGCGTCTTACCGCCCCCATCGCCCCCATCCCACCGTGCCCCCATGCCCACACGGCCCCCGGGCTCGAACTTACACAACCGACAGGACACCTCCAAGTCTTACGTGTTGTATATTTGCAGCCCGCCATTTATTGTGTTGTATTTGTATTTGTTATCTATAGATAATATATCTAAATCTATATCTATAGCATGCCTCTATATCTTTCTAATGCTAACAGTCCAACTATTATTTAAACTGTTGTATAGTTTCTTATCTCTATCATTTTTTACGATTTCTCATTTAAATAAAAAAAATACAAATAATTATGAAAACTTAACTATCCAAATGTCAAAAAGAGAGACGTCATCTTATTTGCACGTGTCAAATTGAGATTACATAATAGATAAAATTCATACTGACATGTCGCACGTGAAGCGAAAAAACGTGAGGCCTTTAAAGGGAACAGATCAATGTTTTATCGTAGACCTATGAGATATAGCAGTGAACGAAACGCATCTCGTCGTCGAGTAGATTTTTTACTGGTTTCTTACGTACATACATATATAGTTTCCTTATTGCGACTGGTCGGTAATGCTCGAAATATTGTTAAAAATTAGTGTATTTATCTCAATTTTTTTTATAATAATTGACCGATAAATTATATTACGTTCGTTGATATTAGGTACATCGCACCTGTGACGGCACGACCAGCTGTCGTAGACGTTACTACCGTTCATAACGACTGTTTTTGCGGTTTCATGCAGAAACACATTTTTTATTTAAATTGATTGTAAACTCTTTGAATATTAAAAATTTACATTCGAAATTTAAAAATATTCAGACATGATTAATTATTCATGGTCATATTTACAAATAATGCGATTTGCGTAAAATGAGTAAAACAAAATTAAAAAGATTTCCAAATATTATTATTAAAAATTTTATTTCAAATTTATTATTAATTTAACTAAATACGTTATTCTATAGCAGCAAATGTGTACCGTACGTTTTAATTAATGTACATTGTAAATTGCGCATAATACATTCGCCTTCAAATGTCGTATAATTCTTCAATTTAAGTATAATAGATACAAAAATTAAATGAAATAATACTTAATTTTTTGTTACAATTAACACATCGTGTCGCTTTGCGACTCTTATTGAGGCTTGGTATTTGAAATAATCTTAGAGAAGTTTATAGTCATTAAAAAAAGTTGATATAGTGTTAATTTTTTCTTTGCTACGACACAGATATTGGGGAACTGGCTGATGTAATAGACGGTTTAAAGTTACGCTAAAGTTAATGCACAGGTATTACATTAGTTGGGAGTTTGAAGCGACGTTGAACTTCTGACTGCCTCAATGGAAGGCGCTCCGGTCACGCGACAGCTATTACGTAAAATTTCCACAGTACTACACAGGTTACTTGTTTGCGGCATAAGTTCTGGTGACGCGGTATTCGTATTGCAGTAAAGTAAAAAGTAAAAGTAAAGTTACCGCTTATAAAAGTCCCACTGCTGGGCAAAGGCCTCCTCTGTACCGATATCTTCATAATATTTTTTTTGTTATTATTTCGGAAATATGTATGTTTCCTCACGATATTCTCCTCAGCCGCCGAGAATGTGATAAGACTGCACTTAAAGTTAACAATTTCGGGGTTGTTCGTGTACAGTGAATTAAAACCGAACGCCCGGGATCTGAGCTAAAACAGTTCTACGTATTGCAGTGATCCCTTCGAATTAATAACAAACAATCAATCTACCTTCGTGCATAATCTTGTTACGATAATGCGATACAATCTCTTTTATATGTTAGCCACGCAGATAAGTTTACTTGTATAACGTAATGAAAAAGTTATCACTGGAAAGATTATTATACCCTTCACGATTTATGATATAAGTCCTGGTCTTAAAGAGTAAAATAAAATCCAATGTAAATTTGTTTAGCAATTCATTTATTAATATAAGAGGCCTAAATCACTTACGTTGAGCAATTAAAAACCGTACTCTCCACTAGTATGTTCTTTACAATGTAACAAACACCCTGGTATCTGTGTATATCAATTAATTTGAAAAAATTCCCAAACTTACAGATTTTAATGATCAGCTTAAATGTCTCTATCCATAGAGGAAATGGTCATATAGTATTAAGTAATAGTCTCCCCTGTGAATTTGAAATGTCATGCTTCAGACGCGTGATAGTGCCTTCTAGGCGATGTTTTCGCTTTCATCTCGTAGCCACCCTGAACAGTGCGGTTTCTATTTCTTGACGTTAATTATCGTATTTCTATCATTTCTGTGTGTTTCTCAAGTGTAGTATTATTAATAAGTCAAAGACTTAAATTCGCAGCAGAATGACCGAATTCGCAACAGATGATGACAATACTAGTCGAATTGAAAACTCAAATGCGATTTTGCCACCATTCAAATAAAATTCATAAAAAAATATTTGATTGGACAACTTTTTCTGAAAATTTCAAAAATTTCAATTATAATTTCAGTTAATTTGTCTGTCTTCATAGCACTTTTACATATAAAAGAGCCATATATTAAGAACAAAAACACTCGGCTAAGTCTACAGAATTCACAATTCCTAATTCCTTAACTCGGAACAATACAGTTTGCGTCAAATGAAGGTATAAGGCACCATGACCGTTTAAACGGCCAATTTAAGGCCTAACAGCAGTTTTATTGAGTGGATCACGCGATAGGAGTGTCGAGGCAAACAATTCCGCCTACGCCTCGACCTGAGCCACGATTATAACACTGGTACCAAACTCTACGTTTATTTACACTCTGCATCTACTTTAAAAACATGGTAATGTCAATGTTGTTGATGATATTTCACATTTTTTTAAATATTTAAACATTAAACGAGGGCTTCCTCTCAAGAAACCATACATAAAACAGAAATAAATGTTGGATTTTATCTGGCATTATTTTTCAATGAGAAAATATAATATGATGTTCGCATAATATTATTTAGTTTATTTGCTACATATGTATTTTAGTACGCTACATACTAAAATATTATATTTGAGTGATTGTAACTCACAATAAATGATTATTAAGAATAGGTACTCATCTTTTTTATTTTTTTAGGCAACTCTTATCTGTTTTGCACCAAACGAAAACTGATAACTGAGTGTCTCTGGCAAATTCAAACATTTTCCTGTATCGGATTTTGTCCATAATTACATGGGCCCTAATATTTTCGCTGAAAGCCCTTCTTTATATAAAATAAAAATAACCTAAGTTATCTCTTATAACTTCAGCTACTAACCAGGCGTTTCGGAAAAAAAAAAAGAGAACAAAGCGACTTATTCACAACAGTACAACAGTACTTCAGTTCGATTTATTTGTATAAATTTGAATAAAAAACCTAGTAAAAGCTTTTTGGTATGATAGTAACAAAATACAGAAAGCAAATGAACAAACATAAAAAATCTTTTAAATAGTTCTTGAATTTTGGAACTTCTCTGAGAATCATGGACGAAAGTTATTTCCTGTGATAATCTATTTCTTTGTAAGGCATAATTACCGAGATATATATTTTCGGAGGATCAATATTCAATTACGACTCCATTCGACGGTTCCGTTTTAGGAAACCGAAAACCAGCGTGGTTCATTTCACGTGTGAACTGGCTGTAATAAGCGCCACTACTAAGAAATGTCTCTCGAAAATGGCGTCGATAATAGATATTGTTTGAACAACGCATTAGCCGCACGCCCGATATGGGCGATGCTTTATTTGCGCGCGAAAAAGAAAGTCGGCGAATTCCGTAATTTGGAGAGTTACCGACGAACGATAAAAATATATTCGAACAGCCGCATTAACATTAATTAGAAGGTTCAATGACCGATGACGGACTATTAGCTAATTCGTTCGGATTCAAGTTAGCTGCAATACACAGTTAGGTATATGACGCTGCAGCTTTTACGTACGAATTGTGGTCAGTGGACTAAATCCGTGATCCAAGTACACGTGCAACAGGCCGAGCGCTCGCAATCAATTACAAATTACAAAATGTCTGCCGTTAGCGATAATAAATTGCGAGATATTACTACGGCGGCATAGTATCGTGAGTATGGTGGCGTAACGGCTCCGAACGCCCACGCGGCTTGGCTTCATGTCTCGGATTCCTGTGCCCCGGTCTCGAGCCAACCAATTCATTGCATACTCCGCGACCGAACTATTTTCATTCAACAACGCGAGTTTATTACGGCTCGGCGATCTGAATGTGACGAGCATTGTTAAACGCAAATATAAGGACACATTATACACATAAGGCATAAGCTATATTTTAGTCCAAGTGTTAATATAAACAGCCCCTAAGTGCTCAAGCGAATACGTGTGGATGCGAGGCAACTGTCGGTGGCAGCCCACGCCCGTCCGTCGCTAAACGATCTATTTTAGAATGGTACCGCATTAGAACAGACCAACTGTCCGCCCGAAACCGGGTCGAATGATGCATTTTTAAAATTTTAAAATTTCCAAACAGCCTTTTCCGGTTTAATTCCGACCAGTTTTAATCTGGTTGCCGATGCATTAACACCCCACTGCAATTCTATATTCAAAACAGCGGACAACTTATGCATTCGGCTATAGTGTACAGATAATTAGTTTATTTTACCTCTCAGTTAGTTATCTGTGCATACATTATGAAAAAGAACCTTTAACCACCACATCTCACCCACCACATTAAATGAGGGAAAATGTACCTACATAACGCTAAAGATATCGTCTTCTTATTATCGAAATAAAGTACAGTAACAGCTTATAAATGTCCCACTGCTGGGCAAAGTCCTCCTCTGTAAAGAGGGTATCAGGGCATAGTCCACCACGCGACCCCACTGCGGATTGGCGGACTATTATCTAGTTAATAATATTGAAAGATTTTAACGAATTACGGTTTAATTACAAAATTTTTTTTATTATATTACTCGAATAACGATTTTTTACATTATTCGGCACTGCAATAATTACATTTAAAAAAAAAACACAATCTAATTAGTAATTCTATAAAATAGTATGTAATTTAAATTATAATTTTAAACTTATACATCGTTTTGAAGAAATACCACGTTATTTTAGTATCCCTTTTCGCCCATTGAGATTTTTTT